TATAAAATAATGCTATAATTCAACTATCATCAATTTTAAGGGAAAGTATACATGCATATAAATCAATAACAACAGAAGGCAACATGTTGCTATATAAATTTGTAGATAAACATTGGATTATTATAAAACAATGCCGTACATTTTGAAGCGTACATTCTCAGTTACATACTGTAGGTCAAAAGCACTCAACCTTTTTTTATTTAGATCTCTTACATGGTTGTTGTTATTATATAATAAGAAATAATATATCATAATCAAATATTTGTTTTCATATAATGATTTCAGACTTTACGCCTTGTTCCTTTGTACATTGTAACACAATACCAATGATTAAATGTTCCATCATTAGAAAAATACTGCAAATATCATGTTGTCTTTAAGGTGCTCGAAGGTGCTGTAACATATCACCTGGATGAGAAAAGAAGACTTCAATTGGTTTTTCAAAATAAAATCTAAATACCTCACCATCTACCAACATTTGTCTCCAGCGCTTTATACCATACTACCGTACTCTGATCAGTCTTGTATGACTACAACCTCTCATTTCTTCTGCATCCTCTAACCCTCAGCCTCAACCCTCCTTCGTTAGCATTATAGATCTGAGAACTATCTCAGATCAGATTTTATATCCACGGCAGTGCCAGGAGGTCTGTGAGGTCTGAGAAATCCTCTGTCTAACTCATAAAAATCAACCGTTACAAGGAAATGGCGAAAGTGAAGGTCTCATCCTCGCCACCATTCCGGTTAGAGTGTGATGTCAAATCCGGACTTTTAAGAGACATTTAATATCTCAAAGACGTCTGTGGGGAGGGGGGGGGGGGGGGCATCGAAGCCCTTTAGGCACCATGTCCAATCAATAGGCTTCTCTGCTGCTTGCCGTGTGACATTAACAGATCAGTGGAGCCGTGAGATAGAGAGCCGGAGACGCTGTTATCCACTCTCCGGTCTCGTAAGTGATCCTCGGCGTTGGTTCCAATAAGTCACCAACTCGCTATCTTTATTTCTTTTTCTTGAGGCGCCAGTGCAGTAAAGTGGGCAATCGGACAACAGAAAGCCTGTTAAGAGCAGGAAGCCTTGGCCGAGGCGACTGCGTGAAGCCTCTGGTGGAGTGCAGCACGTCAATCTGTCTCCATGGAGCCAGCTGTTTCCCACTCCCTCTTAATCTGTGTGCTGGCTGGCCAGTTTGGCAACTGGCTGCCGGCGTTTCTCAAGTAGAGTCATCGCTGTGAAGGTCAACTGAAATGTGTGCCCTAAGGAAGCCCCAAAAATAGATGGGAGTTAAACCCATCAAGTGTATCTAGTGGGACAGCGGTGGTGGAAACAAGTATGTGTACTGCGTATGGGGATACCACAACGCTCTTTCTGCCGATCGCACAAGTCGTAGTGTTGCACTCGGCCCCACGGAAGCAGCTGTGTTAGTGAGCGAGTTAGCGTCAGGGGTCTCAAACTCAATTCAGGTGCGGGCCAGATGCAGCCCGCCCCCCATGTCACTCACATGCATGCCGCATTCACTGGACATCATAACATTGTCCCACACAGCAGTTAACAGCGGGGTTGCTACAATATGAAACTCGCGGGCCGCACTAACATTAAACTTTCATATTAAGGCTGGGGCCACAAAATATCGTCCCAAGGGCCGCAATTGGCCGCGAGTTTGAGACCCCTGCCTTACATGGTCGTTTAGCATGGCATTTAGTGAACAAGTTGAGGTCCAAGGAGGCAAATTTGTCCAAGATTAAAAAACAAACCAAACACATCTTAGCTGAACTATAGTTTTCCTTCGACCCTGTTACATTAATCGTCTCCTTAAACGGCTCCTCAGATTTATGTTGGGCCTCAACAGTGTTGCCAACTTGGACGCTTTCAACCCAAATTAAGTTATTTTCCCTGGCCTCGGCTCGTATAACTGGTTTTTGGTGGCTTCTGCTAATTGTACCACTGTTTGTACAATTTGGCCAGTTTCCCCCCCTGAGATATAAGACCTTTATTTCACTCCTTTTTTAATGAGTATATAGTCAGTGAGACGACATGTCTTGTACAAGATTTTAAGACAATGTGCCTAATTTAGGACTTGTTTACACACAATTTATATGTATACACATTCATACATATGTATGAAAAGAAACTCAGCTACTTTGTCTACATCATTTAAGTGACACAGTGCACATTAATCAACATGGACGTCAACAACATCATTGTAAATGTGCCTCTCCACAGCTAATTTTACCCCGCGGTACCGACACGATTAAAGATGACAAATGACAAAGAATATTTTCTACAATGAAAACAAAAGAGGGAAGAACACTTTGTTCTATAGCGGCCTTTAACAAGTGATACATCCAGACCAACGTACTACAGAAACCGATCCCTTTAGGGAGCCCCCGGCCCAAACTGCATCCTGTAATTAAACTAGTTCCACCGAGAATCAGTGACTAAACTAATTAAAAATGCCCACAGAATGAAAAATACTTTAAATTGTGTTACTGCAGTACAATTTCCATAACAGTGTCTTTACTTTGAATATATTTTTTATTACAGGCCATAATTGGTGCTTTGGCAGATGAGTAAAATTTAAATCAGAGCAGAAGTCTTGACATCAAATAAACGTGTGTACGTGGTACTGATGCTGACCGTGTTCAACCAGACGAGGGCAGTGTACCACAGCTCTGTTGCCCACAGATGAGGTACTCTAGCACTTTGGTGAATGTTGGAGTGGGATCAAAAAGCTTGCTTTGAAACATCATCTTGAGTCATTACCGACATCAGGAACAACTGTGATGTGGCAGCTGCTGGCGCTGTTACATACGCTGGCTGTTATGGAAGTGGGTGCCAGAGTGCTTCGCACTCCTCTTCTTCTCCCTCTCTGAGTGAAGCTGCGATATGTGAATCGTTCCACTTGTCCAACCTTGCAAAGGTTGTCCAGTTATTTCACTCTATTGTCGGGATAACAGTTGTTTTCCCTCCAGTGTGAAACATTCTATAACCCCTCCCTTTAATGTATAGGGTATGTTTTTCGACTACATGTTACAATAGTACTTTTGGGACAAATCAAGTAGAGCAAAAACATATTTTCAACAAAAAGTGTTCTTTGTAGTTTCACACACACACACACACAAGCCTTGTCTGCTTCAAACACATAGCTGTCTGAGCAGTAAAAAGCTTTTATGTCATGCCAGCACAGGGACTACCTAGACCAAGTAGTAATTGAGGGCATATTGAGCATCTCGACTCTATGAAATGCTGCACTGATGAATAAATAATGGCACGTCCTTTCAAGTGCATCTTTGAACAGCGCTGAAGTTTTTAACCCGATCCAATCTGGCTATAGGCCCTGCACGCACACACACACACACACACACACACACACACAACCATGAAACTCCTATTCCTGTTGATTATTTCTTGGTACCCCTGCGACACCCCCCTCCCCCCTGTCTCTGGCATAATGCCCCCCACTAAGTCTTCTTTCATCACTGTAAAGTATCAGTGGGACGCAGACACAAAGGACTCACACAGACATGCGCAAACTCACACAGACGCATGCATGCATTTGCATTTGCATGTTTGTTGCTTGTTAGGGCCAACTTCTGAGTGTATAAATGACCACAGACACAGCTGCACCCTCCAACCACCCATTCATCAGTGTCGTCATGTGAACAATTGTCATGGCAGGATGGGGGTGTGTGGGACTGAAATGGTTAATAAAATCCTGGTCTAATTCTGGCTTTCTGTATGAACAAAAAAAAGACCCAGCTGAACTGTGTTGCATAAGCAATGACAAGTGGCAGCCACTCAGATGAGGGGGTGAATCATACATCAGTGTTACAGCTTAAGCTTCAACCTGGTCTCAGTTCTACCTCCCAAAACCCATCTCAGTCGTAAGTGGTGATCTCGCAATTCCCGAGGAGGAAGGCACCGAATAAAACGGTTTGATATATGACTCCATTCCACTTCACATCATTACAGAAATATTGCCATGAAAACACATGTATCACAAAAAGCATCAAATCTACTTTCTGCTTCAACACAATAGAAACATTACTTTCACGTGAAGAGATATTTAAGATTCCTTCAAATCACATATTTTCTCTTAACAAATAGGCAGACACAGGGGAATATGGGAATGCAAGTAAATGCTTTGACTCTGTAAAGCCTTTCTATTGATCTAACCATGAATATTTTGAAGATCGAGTGTTCAAAATTGTTCTGACAATGCAGGTTTACCTTCAGTGGTCCACCAGGAAATTAAAAAGCCAGGTTTACTGACCTCACACTAGTATTTCCATTACAGAATCTGCTCTTCTTACTGCTCATATTTTGGAGGTCATTTAGCGTCAATAAAATCATTGAAATTCATTTTTCAACTGTTGGTGTTGTAAGGTGCAATTTAACTTTGCTTCTAGGATGAAACTCTTTTGTTGGCATAGAAATATAACTGTTGTAATTGAATTGCATGTGCATTTCTGTTGATTGTGCTTAGTTTTCTGTCTTTCTGCCATTTTTAATTAACCTAAATATTAATCCAGCCTATTTTGGACAGAACACACTTGAAAGAGATGAAGGTTCAATACAAAAACATTATGGATGAATAAAGTCTTCACTATTTCTTAAATAAGTCAAACATTCTGATATATATAATCCAATATGTACATTTAATACAGTACAATACAACCAATTAATCATGAAACAGTTAAATCTATTCAAAAACTACAATTGTCATAATATTTTCACAATAGTAGTTTTATTGGAGTTCACTTTTATTTCAAAATACAGACATTGAAAAGCTTTTTTTTAATTTCATGACCCTGTTCGTGACAGTTGGCCGTCATCAGGAACTGCCCCCCTCAGCCTTTCAGCCAATCACATGTGCCCTTGGGCTCCGAGCAGATTCATTTATTACTAATGGCGCCCGCTTCTCCAATTTAGTCCTAATATCCAAAGTAAAATCCTCTGTCGGTGCCTGAAACCACTCTTCATAGTCAAAGTAATGAATGCGTGAACGCCACAGTGGTCTCAGGTAATGTTAGTCTATGTGTGTCTTTACTCTTCGCCGAGTTGATTCTTTGAGAACGTCTTTGGAATCAAAGCGCTGCGTTTACACGGAATTGGCCCTTTAACTGTTACCTGCTAATGTTTTCGCTTTCTCTTCATTTTAATTCTGTGTTTTAAATATAAAGTAACTATAAAACCAAGCTAGCTAGGTAAGGAAGCACGTCTAGCGTTGTTATGCTAAATGTGCACTACACATTGTTCGTAGATTGAAGCTAACGGTAGCCACGTTAGCTTCCGCTATTGACGGTCAAGTGACAGGTGAAGGGGGCGTGGCCAGGTGACAACTTCACTGTGACATTAGGGAAAATTGGTTCTTAAAGTATTTACTTTTGATTTAATTAAAAAACAACTGAAAAATTATTAATTTATGTATGTATTTATTCAAGAAAAAAATACAGCGGCAAACTGTTCCTTTAGTGAAACGCTCCTTCATTGTTTTTTTTGACCGATCGTTCTAATTACTGCCATTCTGATTTACTAACTCGCCGCGTTGGATTTTCATTACCGCCGTTTTCTTTATTGTTTATGCATCCCAGATCCTTTCTAGCCAGTCAACCGATCCTCCTCAAACTAATTAAACTACAGACGAGCATCAATGAATCCGCCTCTGTGCTGAGTAAGTCCTCTCTCTCTCTCTCTCTCTCTCTCTCTCTCTCTCTCTCTCTCTCTCTCTCTCTCTCTCTCTACTGCGCGCTACAGGATCGCTGCGCGCCTCCACTCAGTCGGGACTGTTGCTTTGGCCGCAGCACCTGCAGGCGCGGAGAGGCGATAACATAAAGGGGAGGGGAGGAGGAACCATGGCCGCAAAGGAGACTTCAACGACGGGCTCCGTCAGCAGAGAAATTACAGGTAAGCACCATCCCGAGTTCCTTGTTTTTTAGTTCGCTTTTTAACTCGGATGTTTTTGCCGCAGGAAAATGCGTCCGGAGAGATCATGAACCCATCGGAGCGATTGATTTGTAAAAAGAAGGGGGGGGGGGGGGTCAGAGTTATTTTCTTGATGCAAAAGTGATGCTGCGAGTTTTCATCTCGTGCGCGTGGGAGTTACAGCAAGACTGAGCGCTTCAACGTGCAGCGTGGGTTCAGCCCTCTGCGTAGACAATGCACATACAACACACACACGCGTACACGTTGATGCGCGTCTCTCACTGCTGGTCCAGACGCGAGTTAAATCCCGCTGGTCAAGCTCCGTCTGTCTGGTGTTAAGAGCAGGAGGGATTTACAACGGCGACACACCTGCCAGGGGGGAGGGGCAAGACCTGGAAGGGGGATTTGGGTTTATGATAACTAGGTAGGGGGGCTCAGATTCATTAAATTGTAAAAGAAGTTTGTGGGGATATGAGATGGGATTTAAGTGGAAAAGAGGAGGACTGACCCATCCTACTTCATCTCCTTCCTCTTCCTCCCTTCTCCTGCCCCTCTTCACCCTGGTCCTGGGGGTCGGTGCTGAGGTCAAGCCAACAGGCCTCGGGGGCGTCACGGAGTGTGTTGAAAGGTTTAAGCGATTGGTTCTTATACAGCTTAATGTCAATAACTCTCTGTTTGTCTTCAGCTGATCCCTCCTTCGATCTGCCGGTGTGATCCACAGCCCCCCCCCCTCCCCACCACACACAACACACACACACACACACACACACACACACACACACACACACACACGCACACACTACTCCATCCACAACCTCGTCCTCGGGTGGATAGGCAACTTCATGGGTTGCTGGATGTCGAATAGTGATAGCTCTGGGTTGTGCAGCACTCACGGCGAAAGAGAGTTGTTTAGATTGTGACACGATGGAGTGTCTTGACACAGCTTGATCTCCATCTGGTGCCCCCCCCTCCGCTTGATATGTGAATATTCACACATCCGGCAGACATATGTGCGTGTTTGCAGGATATAGGTTGCGTTGTGTTTGTGAATACAGGAGCATTTTGTGTTATGTTGGTTGTGGTGGAAAAGATGTAAATGGAGGAGGCCTCCGGTGCGGTTCACTGAGCTTCAGCAGGACAATGTTGTGGGGTGGAGCAGAAGCCTCTAAAGATGCAGCGATAGGTCTCCATTGAGATCAACCGGGCTACTCCTTTTTTTTCTTCTCTAAGGCTAAAAATAACCATGAGTCCCCCTCAGCTGGAGGTGTGTTTGTGCATTTATAAGTGTGTGTATGTGTCTGATGTCCTCAAGTTTGTGTCTGTGCAGCCATCTACTGCTCTTTGGGCCTGCTCACTCCAGTGCGGCTGTCATTAAATCCACCGGTCCAACATCACCTTCGACGCGGCGTTTTCACTGAGACATCGACACATTTTTCTAAAATTGAACAGCCGGATCTTACTGCAGTTATGAAATTCAGCGGTTCCCTTTTGCACGGTCTCGCTGAGCTGTAGGCAGAATGTTGAGCACCATGGCAACCCCTCGTGCACATTATTGCCTTACTTATCAATATTTGCTAGCAATTACTCTTTGTTGTCACAACAGGAGCACAATTGTCTTCTGTTGTTGCACTGGGTCACTTTCTTAATAGTAATAGGAAGTGTCACCATGTAAGCTCACACATAGAGGAATGACCTAATAGGCCATGTTGCGAGGATCAAAGTGGAGCCCTGCTATCTGAGCAGCTTTATATCCTGAGTTCACAGAATTTGTGTCAAATCGGTGCATCCTTCATATTTCTCCACAGTTATGCATTCAATTTATTTTACCTGCCTCATTTTTCACCCAGCTGTACACAGGAATTTGTGGTTTTCCACCGTAACAACAACAACTTCTGATATTATGTCATTTTCTCCCCTCGTACCTCCAGAGAGCGTCAGGAAGGCGCTGGACAAGCAGGCTGTTAAGTTTGTGCGAGCCATCAAGCAGGACACCAGAAGCGGCAAAACAGAGGACAGGATTCTGGTGAGGCCAACACCCTTAAACCCCCCCTGTCTTCCCTCACACCAGGTCACCTGAAACCGTCTCTCATTGTTAAAGTGAAAGCGTCTTTGCGCATGAGGTGTGGAAGGGAATGGCCCCTGAAAATGGAAATCAATGTAAGTTAATGCGACAAATTGGAAGAGCCGTAAGAAGCCACAGATTACTCCAACAGACGCGGTGGAAATCGGGCTTAAGACAGATGCTGCCTAAGCAGAGTGAAGTGGACGTGGCCTACTGAGTCCGTCCTCACTGTTTATTAGATGTGGCAGGATGGCCCTAATGCCACAGACGTGTGTGTGTGTGTGTGTGTGTGTGTGTGTGTGTGTGTGTGTGTGTGTGTGTGTGTGTGTGTGTGTGTGTGTGTGTGTGTGTGTGTGTGTGTGTGTGTGTGCGCAGTTCACATGGGTTACATACTGAGGCTCCTTCCTGTACATACATTAGTTTGACCCAAAGGAGAGGCGTGTGTGCCAGAGGACGTGTGGTCCACCTGCGACGTGTTCATGGAGCTGCTTACTGCTCTGCTGTTGGTCTGAAATGGTCAATTAGGCGGCCGTGCTGGTGGCCGATGGGCGAGCAAATCAAAACCACTAATCAGTGCTTCTCTCAGTTTTTAGGTCTCTGCTATTGTTTTGTCTTCCCCGTCTCCCTCCACCCCTCCATCCATTTCCATCATAATCACCCCCTCCCCTTCTATTTTTGCCATCTCCTCTCTTTGTTTCCTCTCCCTCCCTCCTTATCTGTCCATCTCGATTATTCTCTTCTTTGTCATCACCCCCCCATCCCCCTACAACTCCTCTCTCTTTTTCTCTCCCCTCCATATTTACTCAAACCCAGAGAAGGGTATCAAGCTCCGCTTTCCATCAGATGCAATTCAATTAGGAACTCTGTCTTATGAGAGATTTTTTTAATATCCAAATGGGCTTGGGCCAAATTCCTTCAGGAGAAAGGAGGAGAGAGGGGCGGGTGGGGGGTATAAGTGTTCATTCTAGCTCCTTGTCAAGAGCACTGCTCTTAAAGGCAATCTTCTGACTCTAATGGGTACATTTGTTTGGATACACAAAGGCTGAACAGATGAGGGGATTTGCAGTTTGGAGACTTTGTTTTGTGCACAGAAACAATCACTCAAGGTGGAAAACATCCCTGATGATAGTTGGAAAAAGATGAATCATTGAGGATTGTGGAGGAGATATGGAGGTGAGTTTCAGTCTCGCTTTTCCAAGCCTGAAGGGTTCAGGCGAGGCTTGCTTTTACCTTCATCCTCCCTTTCATGTGGATCCTTCACAGCTGAAGTAAATTCAGCAGGTCGGATCCGAACGGCACCAAAGCATTCGTTTAGTTTTTCAGTTGAGTTTATGGACAGGGAGAGTCTTTCAATTCGCTTTGACGACATACAAGCCTTTGTTCTAGATCTTGCTCTTCCTTATTCGAAACCCTTCTCCCCCCTGGAGGCTGCTGGTATCCAGCTGTCTGTACGTGTTGACTGTACCAGCCGTCATGCCGCACGACACACACACACACACACACACACACTGGGGCCCTCCACTCATCTCACACAGACACATGGAAGGCTCAGCCTGACATCCCAACAGCACCCAAGGCAATGTGCAGTATCAACATCCATGTTTCCATCACTGGGTAACTGCAGAAACACAAGTACGTACATACACACACATGCGTACGGTCTGACATGTGCAGGAATCATCTATGCAGACACACACTGCATCAAAAGTTGCGTGCCTACACACTCTCTTAGGACCATTATTATATCACCCTATTTGAAGATGTGCGTCAACTCCGAAAACAAAGCATCTTCAAAGGCGGGGAGTGGGTGGTTGCGATATGGAGGGGGAGGTGGAGTGCCTCCCTCCAAGACGAAAGGGAATGGAGGAAGGAAAGATGGGGTAGGGGGAGAGGGGGAAGGAAGTCTCTGATGTGTTGTGATGGCCCAGTTGACGATCTGGCTCTTCCGCCACTTATTTATCCCGATCGGCAGCTCACTTTTATAGTCTGTTGACTCGGCGCTGCCAGCCTAGAATAATGGGCCTATTACTGGCTGACGAGGCCACTGTTTGACGGCCCCGAGCATACTCGGGCGCTCCGGACGCTCCCTCCCTCCAGGGTCACACGGCGGGCCCGCTCATGAGGCCGTGGCAGGACTGAGGTTGGAGGGCGGGTGAGTGGGGAGCATGTGAGGACGTGTGCTCAGTAGGCGGGTCTGCTGTGGGATGTTTTTTAGAGTCGGCGGAAGAAATAATTATTCAACTTCAGCAAACCTTTTCTTTACTCTTCCTTCGTTCTGCATAGAAATCATTAATGGATGAACTTTATTTTTTAAATTTTAACCACAAAAAACACTTTTTGCTATTTTTTAGCTATTCTTAGTTACCGTGGACACTGACAGGAAAAAAAGAAATACAGATTTCTTTATTTGTGGACCACTACCAAATCCCATCCCATCCTGAGTGTGGCTTGGTTGAGTTATTATTTTCACAGTATGTTCAGTATCACCCATTCATTTACCTGATTTCTGGCATATTTTTAAGTAAAATTTTCAAATGATTCCTGAGCACTTTCCAATTATACAACTGTTTTCGAAAAGAAAAAAACTCCCCCATGCAACCTTTTTATTTTAAAAAAATACATTATTAGTGTTTTCCCTAGGTTCGGTGTGTGTGTGTGTGTGTGTGTGTGTGTGTGTGGGGGGGTAGTTGTCGGGCAAATGGTGAATGTCCCGCTTCTGCGAGCACCACACGCACATATTCGCAGTAACACTTTGCTCATATTTCCACACATCATCATTTAAAAAACGTGCTCTACCAGCTATTTGAGAGGATTTTGAGTACATGTTTTATTCCACCATGTTCAAATTCCGCAACTGCTCCCTCTATTATTTACTCTTTACATTGCGACTGTAGTGCTTTCTCATGAAGGTCTTCTTCAGGACTGTAGGGCCCTGTGAGATAAAATAGTTTGTATGCTGAAATATTGATAAAATCCATTTTGACCTTTCATATGTAGCAGCTGGCAGTCGACACCATTGTTAAACGTGGGCTGTTAACTGAGCGCTTTGGGACTGAATGAATACCGGTGAATAAATGTTTCTAGTCTACCAGCACCATCCATATCTTTGAGAGTTCTGGTCTTCCTTTGTCCTAATATCAAGCCCATGGATCTAATTCTCCTTGAATGAGTTGTCCATGCTCGTTATTCTAATGATGCTGCCGTGGTTTGATTGAATTCCTTGATTTTATTTTACGAGGTTCTGCGTATCTTTTACTCCTTGTTTTTTTTTTCCTCCACCCTCATCTGCATAAGTTAGTGTTTCCAATCTTACCGCTGAGCCTCCTTTTTGTTATTGTGTGAAGTGTCCTTCCCACCATTTGAAAGATGATGTTCAGTCCATCCTCACTAGCTGTCCGTTCATCCCCGCTGCGAAAGGAGAGACTCCAAAGCAGTGATTCAGAGTAAGAATGGACGAGACATTGATCCGTCTGCGTGGTCGTTTCACCAGGCCAGTTCCCTTCTACATTCATGGCAAAACATATCACCGTAAATAATATTAGAGTTGCTCCGATACAGAAACTAAGGCCGAACCCGAATACGCCACTGTGCAGTTGTTTGTTGTGGATATTATTCTGCCTAATTTAGTTGACCTTGGGATTACAACCGCACCACATATGCGCACCAAGTACCTCTGCCTGTGTTTCCTCTCATTGTCGTTCCCCTCCTCATCCATTTGTCCTCAATCACACTCGATACTTGTCCCCGTCTCATCCCACTTTCTTACATTTGCACACAATCACCCATTCCTGTCCTTTAAGCTTCACATCTCCTCTTAAAGACGCTCATCTCTGACTTGGGACTCTACAGGCCTACAACCCCCTTCCCATTATCTGTTTCCATTTAGTATTTCTCCGACCGCTCTCTTAGCATCCCTCCCTTGATTTAGATGCATTGGACTGGCTTGTTTTTTATGAGAGAGTCTGGAACAGGAAGTGTTTTTCAGCTTTGCATTTCTTTCCTCTCATTTGGCTTCATCGCTCTCCGACTCTCCTTTTATTTTTTTGCATCCACTCTAAAGTCCACTTAGAAAGCAAGACCTGAGGCATCTGTGCTTTCAAGCCCCCTGTCAATTACACAGACACACACACACATGCACGTAAGCTGACAGGTTGACGGATGGCAGGGTTGTGCTCTTCTGATGCTGAGTCCACTAGAACGATAGAAGCTGTGTGTGTGTGCGTGTGCGTTTTTGTGCAGGGAGCGAGACTAGACAAGTGAGTGTAGTCCAAAGCCAGTTTAGCATGCTATTGTATTGTGCATTATTATACGTGCATGACCGTCCAAATACAGTGTGTGTGTGTGTGTCTGCGTGTGCGCTACACTACCATGCCGGACTCATTCAAATGTCTGTATTGGAATGTTACTGATTTTATGCTGTGTGTTATTGCGTGTGTGTGTGTGTGTGCGTGTGCGTGTGCGTGCGTGTGCGCGCGCGCGTCTGTTTTAAAATGCCCTTGTGGCCGAGCCAAAAATACCGCAGGCGGACAAATCTGGCACTGATCCTCAGCTTGCTGCAACATGCGCGCACACACACACCCACACCCACACACCCGGAGACACACTTTGATTTGCAGCATCTCGTTTGAAGTGCAAGACCCAGAGCCTGACAGCTTATGATTAATATAAGCCCCCGCCCTCCGCCCTCTGCCCTTGTCTATGCAAACACGCACACCCGGAAAGAGATCCATTTGTTTGTTTCCGTGCACGTGCTACGGGGGTGGCTGGTCGGCTCTTGGAACCAGTGCTTCTGACACTGTCACAGCAAAGGCACCTTTGCACCCCCATCGCACCCCCACACCATCGAGCACCACCACAGTCTCGCTCTCGCTCTCGCTCTCTCTCGCTCTTTCTACACATTCATCAGTTCCTGAGATTGCCAGCTGCCATGTACTCAGCTGACCGGTACAAATATGAGTCTTCTTAGGGGCTTTTAGGGGTTTTGGTCAACCTGTGGATGGGAGGTTGCCACTAAGCCACATGGTGGTTAATGCTGGCTATTTATGCTTATTAATATTAATCATTGGATAAGTTATCATTATGACTATGAAATGAGCAGTTAATTTGTCTGCTATGAGGATTGTTGAGAGGTCAAAGGTTAAGAGGATCGGTAGCTAATTGTGACACATACTTATGCCTATTTTAATCTAAACCGTGAAGCTGACTACATTAAATTAATAATAATTAATAATTAATAAACTCAAAAACCCTCCAAACCGACACAGCTCCTCTCTTGGGAACAAGTTGTGTTGGTGCATCTCTGGTCTCTTGTTGTTCCTCCTGTATCGCTCTTTTCTGTGTTTTCATGTAGCAACAGAGTTACTTCTTGTTGTGCGCTTTACCCAGCATGCAGTTCGGCGGGGTCATTTTTATAAATGTACAAATATTAGTGTTACAAATTGTTTATGTGTCGCAAGCTGTTATGTCGTGGTGTCTGTTTGTTTTTGGTGTTAAAAAGTGTTTGTTGTGGGTTATTCATTGTTGTTATAAAGTTGGAACCATGACTCAATCTCAACACACATAAGACAAGTAGCTCTGACTGCTCAGAGCTCTGCAATGACGTGTAAAAATAAATTCTGCTGCCTGCCGAAGAACAGCGTCGGTTGTTATGGCGTAACGGTGGGATGAACGGTACGTGAGAAATTCATACCATACGGAAATCTTACTGTTTAAACCGGTATACCGCCCAGCCATAACTGACAGTTCAACAATTACGTAAAAAGATGTGTTATTGATCAGTTTGTGTCCCCTTTAGTCACTGTGCTAGTGTAAGCCAGCAGGATCATTTCATAGTGATGGGACACGCTGCTACTCGGCTCTGAATCTCACTCAAAGTGATGTATTAGAGATTCCTCCTTGAGTAGCTAACATTTGATGATTTGTTGAACCGATGATTTGTTGAGCCGAAGCAAAGATAATTCCGGTATAACCAACAGTGAACAGATACCCGTGGCGATATTCCCACACTGCTGCACATAACTCACCCAAGTAGGCAGGAAAGAACTGTCATGGTCATCGATTGTCTCTCATGATACTTGAATGGTCTGTAAACGATATACAAAGAGCGGACAAACCCGATGCGAGAGGCCTGGTTCAGCATCAGAGGATGAAACCGTCAGACCCTGCATTATTGATGCTGCTGTTTACATTTAGCGCTTCGGTCAGAAGATACTTCACCCCCCCCCCCCCCTCTCTCTCTCTGTGCATCTCACATCTCACGTTCCCACCTGCTCCTCGCTGGATTTACGTAACAATTTCCAAACTTCACTTGGAGCTGTGATTGGACTAACAATCTTCTGCGAAGGCCCCTCCACCAGCTTAGTGCGCAGATTTTTATTCTCTCCTCAGGGGTATTCCTCGGTCTCCTCCTCCTCCTCTCGTTTGTCATTCCTCCCCCTCTCCTGCGTCTCCTCTCTGTGGGAGTCTGCTACGGATGTCTATATAGTTGAGGCACAGGGCTGATCTGCGACGCCAGCTTTGCCGGGAGTAGGTGTAGTATCTGACTTCATTATCAAGAGGGAAATCGGGTGTCTCTGTCCTTCCTCCGCTACCTCACCCTGTCTCTCTCTCTCTCCTTTGTATGTTTGATTTCCTTTCTTCCTCTCACCGCCACACAGTGGGATGCCATTAGCCATTCAGCAAAAAGGGGCCCTACAGGAATTGAAAGCGACGGAGCAGCAAAAGAAAAGAAAAACTGAATCGGGAAAGGAGACTGGGGGGGTGTAGGGCAAGAGGGGATAGAGTGAGGTATTGGAGGGATGAAGGGATTATGGATTAAGGAAGAGGATGGTGTGGGAACAGATTTTTATGGAGATGAAGAGAAATGACAGAATGAAAAGGAGGACATTTGAAAGACAACTGAGAAAGCGCAAAACCAAAGTGCGGCCAAGAAATTGCAGTGAGAGGGAGGGAGGGTTATAGATGCGCAGTGCATGTATGGGGGTGTGTGCGCTAATTACGAATTTTTGAATTATTGAGAGATGAGATTAATTATATAGGCTGTTATGAATATATTCACGTCTCCTGTCTATTACTTTAGCCCAGAACCTTTTTAAATGGTAATGCCTTTTACTTGGGCAAAAGCACACCTCTCTCTTCCTGTCTTCCCCGCCTTCTTTCTCCCCCTGCTCTCCCCTTTAGTTCCTTCCCAGATGCAACGAGGCGCCCGTTGAGCGAGTGCTGCTGGGTACCATCGATGAATCGGACCGCAGCCTGACTCTCCATCCCGCCCATAATATTTCGTACAAACACGCGCCATCGTCATTCATCAGCGCGCTAATGTCTGCTGCGTCTGAGTGCTTAGCGCGACTTCCGAGTCATTCGGACGAGCCGCAGAGATGATTTGTTGTCTTTATGGGGGTCGGGGGGGGACGTGCTGTGCTATTTTTTTCCGTGCTGCAATTTGCGTTTCCCGCTCTGTGACAGAAAATAAATTAATGTGTTCTCCCCTCAGGTCCTGGCAACATGGAGACTGTATCTCTTTGCTGTCAAAGTGCCCACCAAGGTAAATGTTCCCCAGCACTCATCGTCCGTGGCAATTCACAAGACAGAACCAAACTAGACCTTTAGAGCTGAAGAGAGAATGCTGATCATGTTTTAGAATGATGACGACAGGGTGGCAGGTAAAGGACGTCAGTGGTTTCATTTATTATTAATTTATTGCTAATTCTGATAAATAGGACTATTCATGTGCGTGTTTCATGAAAATATTCATACAAATTATTTAAATATATAATATGAAGCTACAGCAGTTGATTAGCTTTGCTTTCTTTGACCTCAACTATATTTAGTAGTTGATGTGAAGTTATAATTCACTGAACAGAACTTGAACATATTATAAAGCAACTAAATACAACCTCCGTTAAAGTCAGCTGTTCCCTCCAGAGGTCAGTGCTGTCAGCATCAGCTGGCCGTGTTGAACACGGATAGTGAATTTACTTGATAGAGACAAAGGCTGTAAATAAGTAAACTGTTCAATGCTTGATCTACTTTGGGTCCGAGTGGTTCCCTCCCAGTTGAACTATAAGGGCACAGCTTGCAGAGAGTTTATGGGAAAGGTTGGAAAGTAGTCTGTAGCGTTAATGGGGCGAGCGTTTTCTCCCATCGTATGTCCTCTACATACATTTTTGGTTGCCTATCCCAACTGCAAATATCCACATGTAATCTCCCGAGTCAGGATTTAACTGTTCTCCTGAGTTGCTGCTGTGTGTCATCAATAAACCAACAGCTGAAACTGAAACCCAGATCCCAAAATATGAATACAATCCATTTATTCCTTTGTGTGCTCGTCTACATCGAGCACAGTACGTCCCAATATTCCAATTCATGAAACGCAAGAGCCATGAAAATAATGAGCTGTAAAAAGAGGAAATGATACTTCTGATGTGAAACAACAATAATATTTTTCTATTTTCAGATGGAGGTCACCTTCAACTTCTTGGAAATCCGAGCAATGAACACCTATCCAGAACACCAGGTGACACACTCATGGGGTTTTCCTGTTTGGACTTCACGGCTGCTGAATGCGCCACTATTGATCAACTGTTTTTGTGTGTGCGTGTGTGTATACACAGGTCGTCATCGACACAGACAAGACCACCTACTCGCTGCGACTGCAGACCCAGGACCAGCTGGATCACATGGTTGGCCACATCAATTACGCCCTCTCACGAGTCTTCAACAACTCCATTTATGCGTAAGCTTCTCCGAGCACCCGCGCCTCGAGCAGAGCAACGGGTCTTCCTTTTTTTTGTGTGTGTCGTGCTTAAGGGGCGAACACGAGCTGGCCGACGTTAACGGCACTCGACGTGTGCGTTGGCACAACGTAGCAGCCTCGCTTTGGTGCAGCTCTCCTCTTCGACATCGAAGTGCATTCTTGTCTTTCCGGAGTTTGCTTTCAACCCCTTTCTGTGTGACAGGAGACACAGCAATCAATGGGATTAAATCAACCAGTTGACACTGAGTAGGCCGTTACCTGAGGGCCTTTTTTCTTTCCTCTTTAATTTTTTTTTTAGTTCAATAAGTAGCAGAACACTCCGCCACTGACAGAGCAAAGCACGAAGCCGTGTCGACACAGTTAGAAATCCTGAAGTGGGCCGTGTATGTCTTTACACTCTCTGAAGGAGTGGCGCACTGAGGACACGCACTAAAGAAAACGTCTGGATAGAGCGAGGTTTAAGCCTTGGACACGTTTTGTCCCTGTGGTCATGTGAATGTACGGCTGAGCGGGCAAGCAAGGCAGAGTGTATTGTCCTCTCTCCTGGGCCTCATCTACAATTTCTAAGAGCAATGGGATTGACTGCGCCGCGACAATTGACCTGCACAAGGCTATCGCCGCGCTCTATCATCTTTCGGAATGTCTCTATTCCATTAGGGCTGGGGCAGATGATTGCTTCCAGGGACAGCATTTAAGGAGAATAAAGTGAGCGGGGAAGACACGGGGTGGACAGTGGTCGTGGGTTTGGTTGTGCAGCCTTGAAGCTGATTGGTGCCGCTGCATTGAGGTACACAATGCAGATAGGAGCAAGATCAGGAGTGCGTACACACGGGTGCCAGGAGCGGGTGATGATTGTCGAGATAAGGTGGGGGATTAAGGTCGCGAATGTGGTTAGGTGTCGTGCGTGTGATCGGTTGACAAATGGGATTAGGGGTGGTGTGTGTTGAATGGTGTAGTGGTGTAATCCTGTCAAAAAGCCAGTAGAGCACAGCGTTGTGTTCAAACACAGAATTTACTCAGGTTCTTACTGTTTTCTGCATACTGGAGGACTTGTCTGAGAATTGTTTTAAAGAAAACAACCAGCAAGTAGAGGAATATATCTATATTTTTCATGTGATATACAATTCCACCAAGGAGCAACGGTTTCTTTTTTAAAATAGCATCCCAGGGATTTTTTCTCTGCCAAAGCAATGACATATCATATCAGAGGCTCAATTTCCATCCTAATTTTGACTGAATCATCAATGAAAGAACAAGTGAGCTGCAAATTAGCATATTTTTATGCAAATAGGACAGGTCATCATCATCAGGTCATTACGCTGTTCTTGGTTTAGTTGAATCTGAATCTTTCTTAGTGAAACCCCCTTCTTAATATTTTCTAAGTCTCTTGGGCCTGAAATGCTCCACTTATGCAGCTGGGAGTTTAGTGCCTTGCTTGAGGGCTCTTCAGCAATAGCAGCTGAGGGAGGGGCAAAAGTATAATATTTACTCATCTCCCATTACCCAAAGGTGGACCAGATGCTTTCTAATCACAACACTTTGTTCAAGACTGAAATATCCAGAAAGTCATTAGGATTCATCCTCTGGGAATCATGAATGTCTGCACAAGGTGACCGTACAAAATGTCCAGTCTGATAACTATGGAGAGGACTAAAGTCTTAATGACTTCCCATGAGGTTTCCTCCATCCCTGTGGTAACTTTCAGGTTCACGTTGCTAATTTCCTATGCAGTGATTACGTTAGCGAGCTTACAAATCCTGCGGTGACGGCGTCAATGTGAGCATATTAGCATGCTGAAGTTGCCATTTAGCTCAGAGCACCTCTGCGCCCCCCTGAGGGTTTTAGCGTGGAGTGCTAGCTCTTTACGCCGCGTCTGTGTGGATTCTTGTGTTATTGGAACTAGAACTCTCCCTCGTTGTCTTCCAGTCCTCCTATTTGTCGAGCAGAGGGAGACCTGAGCGAAGGAAGTCACAAGTTTTCACCAAACTCTGAATCGTCGCTGGAGGCCCAGAAAACCTGCGGTGAGTCGTTAACGCCACATGCACACAGAAAGTGCGTTTAGAGTTCATCCACTCGCAGAATCCCGTTGGCAGACTCGTCCTCAAGTGGGTCAGAGGACCAAAGTATTCAAGAAGGGCTCTTTCACGCTGCAATACTTTTATCTTACCACCAGTATTTACAGCGCACTCGGTACCGAAGATCTCCGAGAGCCTCCTTTCATCTCTGGCCTTTTTGTTTTGTTTTTTTCCCCTCGTACCGGAGTCCTCCACCCTGCGTTTGCTGCATACTTACCCTTTTCGGATATGTTACCCTTTGGAGTGGATTGATAAATGGTAAATGGTAAATGGACTGTACTTGTATAGCGCTTTCTAGTCTTCCGACCACTCAAAGCGCTTTAACACTACATGACATCATTCACCCATTCACACCCATTCATACACTGATGACAGGAGAACCATACACAGTGACACCTGCCATGAGTAACTAACATTCATACGCTGTAGTCGCAGCTACAGGAGCAATGTTGGGTTAAGTGTCTTGCTAAAGGACACATCGGCATGCGGGTTAGCACAGCCTGGGATCGAACCGACAACCCTCTGATTGGTGGACGACCGTGCTCCCCACTCACCCACAGTCGCCCTGATCTGTTGGCTCTTCTTCCTCTCCACCTTTCAGGAGGTTTTTCTGAGACCTACGCAGCTCTTTGCGACTACAACGGGATCGGCTGCAAAGAAGAAGTGCAGTGGGTGAGAACACGTAGAGGCTGCACAAAACCCCTTTGGGTCGCTGCCGGAACATCCAGAAAAGTTTGACATACTTTCCCACCTTTTGTAACTCTGTCCCATTTCTTTTTCTCTCATATTTCCTCCCCTCCACGGGTCCAGGATGTTGACACCATCTACCACTCTCAGGACAACAGGGAGTTCAATTTACTGGATTTCAGCCACCTGGACAGCAGGTGACTTGGTTTATTTCCACATTAAAAGCAACCAAATGGAATACTGTTTGCCAGTAAGCACTGATTGGAACAACACAAACTTATTCATCAGTAGCAGGTGTGTGTGTGTGTGTGTGTGTGTGTGTGTGTGTGTGTGTGTGTGTGTGTGTCGTGTGGCTCTCCGAGACATTAGATGTGAAATGTAGCAGTGGAAATAAGAGCAAAGTGCTGACTTTCGGCATTTATTTGAGGACAGAAAGTAATTGGGCAAGTTAACACAACCTCATTATATCTGATATTTTAAGTTCTGTTGCATTCAATGTGTGGCTGTTAATAGCAGCAGATAGTTAGCACAATCCTTGCTTTGTCAAAACTGCAGTCAGCTCGAACTGTTTCCTTTTTTTATTTTTATTTTTACTTTAGTCTGATCTCAATAAATGAAATCGCCGGTGGTTTTGGCCTCGATTTAAATCCCTATGAAATGTAATTATGGGTTTAGGTATGCAAATGAGTGTGATTTTAGTTGAATTGTGGACCACGACTGGATCCAAAACTAGTCCACAGCTTTAAGGTGAGCTCAGAGAAACGTTCTAGTGACAAAACGCGGCATGTAGCAAAGTAACAGTAAGCAGAACACATTTTGAGGATTGGAGGACCATTCTTTTTTTAAGCTACAGCCAATCACTTCTACCTCCAGGTGGTTCAACAGTGGTGCTCTGCTGTGCTTTTAGTAATCTAACGTCCCCAGTAGTGGCAAATAGAATGCACCTTGTTGCTGCACGGCCAGTGCCGCGAAACCCATTGTTAGCCACATCACTTTCCAGGTACAGGTCCTTTAAAATGCAATGGGTAATGGAGCAGAGTCACTTTCTTCACCCAGTCAGAGTTTGCTGAGAGTGTTGTAAAAGAGTTCAGTGCTTCCACGGTTTCGAATGATTGTCTCTAGGTAATGGTGACCCCTAATGTTGACTCCTCACCATCTTTGAGGCTTGCATGTAGACCCGTTAAGACCAGTGTTTGCACGCCGCAAAAATTCAACGTGGCTACGGGACCACCGACTGTCCCAAATGCAACCAAAATACATTGACTTTTCAGATCCGTGAGCCATTAGTCCGCGGATAGATTACGTTAGCAAGTTTAGTGTCCACATGTATACATGTCTTTCTGTAGATTCTGTAGACCAGCGGTTCCCAAACTCAAGAATGCCGCGGCCCACTTTGAAATCTGAAAATCTTTTGCGGCCCACCCAATTTTTAATCAACTTTAATGATTTTACTTTTGAACTTTTGACTTTAATGAACTTTAATCAAAACATAAACTAGGGATGATTAAATGACCTTAAGAATTTAACCGAATAAAATTGTATTAACCGCCAATGTATGTTTTGTATACCATTTTCTCCGGAGCTCATGTGCCGTGTTTTCTGCACAACAAGGCGCATAATACTGCAGTCAAACGTTTGACGTCGGGGCGGGTGGATGGGGGGGGATGTGGGGAGGTGGAGACGGTGCTTTCAGGGTCCGATCGATGCTGTGAGGTGCATCCGCTCCCGCCGCTCCCCTTGCCATCCACGCCTTAAATCTTCGGCTGCTCTCCAGCCACGCCGCCTCCTTTTAGAATAACTTAGTTTCCCCGTTAAGATGGTTCAGCTACTGTAAAGAAAAGGGCACCGTCTCTCGCTCTTTAATCTCATGAAGTGCTCGGCGAGAACGACACCTTGGTTTCTCTGACGTGCCCTGAAACAAGCTCCATATCTCACGCGCTTGAGCGCCCGCAGCTTTGGCATGTTCGGCAGAGCGCCTTGAGCACCGTGTACAACCAGTATGGATCAACCGATTAACCAATTGATCAATATAAAAGGCGCTCCGGATTATAAGGCACTGTTGTTTGAGAAAATTAAAGGCTTTTAAGTGCGCCTTGGAGTGCGGAAAATGCAGTATATTTAATACTACAAGAGGGCGCCCCGTTTGACATTGTTTTGTTTGTTGAATAACGACAGGCAGACAAGAGCAGCCGTTTCGAGCGAGAACCTTATTGTTTTAATAATCTGTTCGTTTCGTAAATTGTTTGTGCTTCATCAATTAATCTTTCACATAACTAATGTGCTGCATCATGAATATTTTGATATTAATTTCAAATCTTTCAAAATTGAAAATTAAAAACATTTTATTTATTTATTGTAAATGACCTCACGTGGCAGTGGGCCGCGGCCCACACTTTGGGAAACGCTGCTGTAGACCTTGCAACCAGACATTTTGATCCTGCACATGGAGCCTGCTGCGAACGGGCTCTATTGCACATGAGTCATGTCAAACTAATTCCTCCCTGCGAATGAATCAATTAAAGACGTGCCCAAAGGCTTCACACCCGTGTTTGAAGGCTGCACTCAGTCCTTGAGACAAGCTTTTTTTCTTGGCACAGCTCCAAATTTTCCAATCCATCTGCACAGGGAGGGGGAGACACATCTGTATGATCTGTCAATTGGTTAAGAATTGTAGAAGATAAGATATATATTTTTTATCCCCCACTGCTCGGCACACATTGCATTGACCGTAAATTTGTTTGCACACTGCTGGATGTGTTATGGAAGACCTCAAACTAATAGTGGTGTAACTTGGAATGTGGTGCGCTTGATCCCCCCACTGCCCCCCCACCCTGCACCGTAACCCCTCACCCCCCTATTCTTTGGCTGCGTTGTAAACAGATACGTGATATTTGGGCCCGATCCCGATCTTTGAGGTGCACTCCCGCTCTGTGAGGGTTTGGTTCTGTCCCACCGCGTACTGTCTGAGGCTCTCTGGCAGACATTTTCAGCCCTAATGAACCCTTGCTGTTAGTCAGCATTGGATGCCGACTTTGCCCAAGGAAATTACCCACAAGTCACTGCAATGTCACATTGAAAACAAGATAAAAACAAGACGATATTTACTCATTTATTCTTAACATTTTTAATTTTAGCATTTAAAACGGTGTTTGAAAAACTAAATTCCACGTTGTTAGTGCTTCTACACGTTAATGTGTTGTTGTCCAACCGCAAACACAAGAAAAAAAATGTTTTTTTTCTGATTCCCGTAATGAATTCATACTAATTTTTACAACTTGTTTGGATGTTCCATGGCTTGCAGACATCATCAGTCCATGGGGGAGTCCCTTACATGGCCTTGGCCCTCCCCCTACCGCATCCTCCCCAAAACCCCAAAGCACTCAACTTCGTTCTCAATGTATGAGATTGTAACTGAAGCTGAGATTCAGCGCTTTAGTCACGTTCTCATTTTGAATCCACTGTTCTGCGGTACGGACCCGTCAAATTTCAAAAGAGACATCACTGTCCCGGTTACCCTCTGGCTATTTTGTTGTTTTGAAAGGCTCCTCACTGCGCATCACGGTGTTTTGCTTGTCGACCCTCATCTCAACAACAGTGCGTCGGCTGGTTTGACAAGTCCCTGCCTGTGCTGAAGCATTTAGCGCATCGGCCTGGCTCTCTCGCTGTCCCATGTCTCTGTTCAATTGTGTTAAGTTTGGAAAGATCACAGAGAACGCTGAGCTTCTCAGAGGCGGAATCCAGGGGCGCATAGAGACGGCTGTAAAGTGCCATTTGTCTCCTCCTCTGCCTCCCGCCTGGCATCTTTGTATGTCCCCCACCTCCTTTCCCAAGCATGTTGAGGAAGAGCGCGCGTGCTGCTCGAGCACTGACGATCATGAAAGAAGACTTTGACAGCTGACATGCAAATGGCGCGCTTGTTCTTTATTTGAGGAGTGTTTTGTCCTAAATAACCCAAAGGCCTGTGGAATCCTTTCTGCTTCCCTCTGCGGAGACGACGATCCCGACCGGAGAGGATGCATTCACACTCAACAATCACAGCGGCAGAACCTCGCCACGCTGCTGAATCAAAAAGGCCATTCCAAGAGGCATGATTGCAGTAGCAACTCATGAATATATTAATGTCTCCTACATGCACTGCTAAAAACCTCGGCATCGGGCTTGTTTTTCCCTCCAATAAAATAAAGCCTTTTTTAGGGGAAGGTGCGGCCTGTTTTTCTAAGATCTTTAACACACTGTTCCCTTGAGCCTACAATCCCATATTAAAGAATCTGGCTGCTATTCTGTAGAAGTTTTATTAAATCTAAATTGATGCGGACAGAACACATGGGATTGGAGGAAAAGAATCAATGCAGGGAAGCAATCCAGAAGTGTGCGAATGAGCGGAGAAAAGAGCCAAGGATTGTTCTTTTCATGATCACCTGTCAGAGCCTACTCACGCTGACCTTCTGCGTCCCCGTCCTCCCTATGGAGCCTGTCCACTGTTTCCACGAGTGACGGGTTGCAGCTTTTTTTCTGCTGCCTGCTGTCCGTCCAAACATTGCCTGGACTCACTCCTCCTTGCTGACTGCGACAGCTTTTTTTTCTGGCCCCGTCTCATCCTGTTTTTCATCCACTTCCTTTATTTTCTCCCCTTTTTTTTTGGCTCGGCCTCACTGTTCCAGCTCTTTTTCTCTAAATAACTCCCCTACACAAACACACTAACTAGTCTGGATGCTGCGTCCAACTTTTCCCCGGCTCTCCGTCTTGGCTCTTCCTGTCACTGAAGCAGCCCCACAGCTCTCTGCTGCGACTGTGACAGGACCCGAGTCACAGGCTTGCGAGGGGGGGGGGGGGGCACCATACCCTCCGCCAGATTGCCGTCAAATTAGTTATGAATATTTATAATCCCCAGAGGATGAATCTTAAGAATTGTAGCGCCTTCTGACCTTTCCGACTATAGCCACCGTTCATGTCAGTTTATCCAGCTTCCCTGGCGAGGATGTTCTCACAGAGTACGATAAACATTCATAAGGGGAATAATGACTCAACTCGCGAATAACACTTTGTGTCCTCTCGCCGGCTTCACCCTCACAGTGTTTAATAATCAAATTGGCTTATGGCCATTTACTAGTCTGAGCACACCCCTGCAGCCGGGGGGACATTGATTTAAAGGATCCCATGACCTTTTCTTCTGAACCACCTCAGGAGAAACTCTGCATCTCAACCCCATTCCTTGGAATGCCTAATGAGATCAGTGTGCATACTGTGGGCTGTAATAACTGTTGGAGCCTTATGTGTTTGCTAGAAGGACCCATTCTTATACCAGTAGACCAGTATGTGCAGTTGGATCAGGTAGCTTGTGGCGGTAGATTACAAGTGACATAATTTGCATTCAGCCTGGAATTTGATCTTAAAGAGATTGAGAATTTGAATATATGTTGATTTTCTTGCCAAAAGTAAGCTTAGAAGATCGAGGTTGGTATTCTACTGCTTTCTTTGTTAGCATATTGAATATATACAGTATCACAAATGTTCACACATCCTCAGTCCATTCACTGAATATGTACGAAGGTCTGTTTTGAATTATATTTTCATAACACCGTGTGTATGTAAGAAGTGTTTGAATAGAGAAAAATTGTATTCACCTTCCACATACTTTTAACCCTTCTCATGACCGGCCTTTAAACCCTAAACTAATCAACAGTTTGAATCTAATCCCACATCGCACCACTGGAGCGATACCAGAACAGGACGACACGTGGTTACCAACACGCCACATGACTCAGTGAGACATCGTAGAGGTCAATTGCATGTCCCGCTGTCACCAACACCAGTCAACAGTCGGTGTTGGCGATGAATCTTGACAAGTGCATCATCTGCTCTCTCTCGCACGCACACACACGCACGCACGCAGTGAGTCCGTTAGAGCGGGCCGGTCTGATGGCTGGCCTGGTGATTACAGGAATACAGCCTGTAGCCATTTTACTCCTGAGATCTACTGTAATGTCCCGGCTAGCGCAGTCGTTGGCAAAAGGACCCACACCAGCTCATCACACTGTTTTCCCTCGTGTTTCTCCTCTGTCTCGCTATCCTCCTTTCTTCATTTTCTCCCTCTCTCTGAGCTTCTCCCCTGCCTCTCCCTCTGCATTGCTGCTTGTTAGATGATGTATAGCAGGAATAGTAGCAGTGTGGCTTTAGTTGGACCTTGGAGGATCCTAGAACTCTTTCTTTCTTACCTTTCAAACACACGCAAACACACATACACAGGCTGGTCTGTAGGCGCCCTGTCTGTATAGCTGTGCACTGTTTGAGGTCTGTAGCTGGGATGCAACGGGGGCTTAGTGAGTAATCCACTGACCCAGGCATTGATCTTCTTCTGCCTTTTTGTTCTTATTCTCTGCTTCTCCTCCTCAGCAGGGCTGCAGTATCACTCATCTTGTAAAAAGCTGCGCGGCCCATATAGTGTGTGTGCAGTGTACTCCCTGTCACAATGATGAACTGCTTTTTACTAAATGGGGGAGCAAAGAAAATAGTTTGGCCCACGATAATGTGGATTTATGGATCAATGACATTGAATGGTTTGGAGCAGATGGAGTTGACTAATTTTAAAGATTTGCATTTGATCTCTTGTGTGTGTGTGTGTGTGTGTGTGTGTGTGTGTGTGTGTGTGTGTGTGTGTGTGTGTGTGTGTGTCCATTGCAGGGACTTGGCGGTAATCGTGGCATCCATTGCGTACAACACCTGGTTCACCAAGCTGCACTGCAAGGACATGCGCATAGTAACTATCTATTTATGTTTTTTAACTCTTCTTTACTTATAAACAGTGTTTTGCTTTTTCACATGTGTCTTTACTTTCCTGTTTGTTATCAGATTACATTTGTCATATTGCATGAGCTCATTTTGCACACTGCACTTCATGATGAAGAAATCCCTCCACTTTTATTTATTATTCATAATATGCATTTGGGTAAGTGGGATCCATCTGAAGGTGAACTCCATGACAACAGTCAAGCGATACTTTTCAAAGTTTTATAAGGCATCAGATTAAATGCTTTGATCATTGAAGTTTGGCAAAGCTTGGTTTCAGATTTGAAATAGTGAAATAGTTTTACATCTCATGTTAGTCACCATAACCCACTTTGTTAATCTTTGAAGGCAAACCAACTAGTTGAAAGATTTTTGTTCCTCCAGGAATATTTGCAAAGCCGCTTTCTTTGATTGGATTCGTTTCTGTAGCTGAAGCGCTGGCTTCTTTTTGAGGGATATGGTTTTTACATGCAACAGGAATTATTAAGAATGTTGCTCCAATATTGTGTTCAGTAGATCAGCAAAAACCCATGAATCTGATAAGAGTATCCTTAGTTATTAAGATTTATGAACACAACTGGTGCCCGATTATGAATCCCATCTCAAAATCTTTCCAGAGCCACATATATATCACCATGGCAATCTGAAACTGCTCCCCTAGCGTAAAATTTACCGACCCTAAAACATCTGATTACTGTCTGCTTCCCACTCCCCCGCCCGTACTCTCCGTCCGTCTGAAACCTGCGGTCACATGCTTCTTGCTTTGGTCCGCAGGGGTCAGAGGTGGTGGACCAGGTCCTGCACACAGTCAGCAAGTCCAACAGCTTGGAGGAGCTCACTCTGGAGAATGCAGGACTCAAATCGTAGGTTTCCATCCACCAGCCCCGTCATTCAGCCCTCTGCTAACCTAATTTCCTTTCCCTTTCTTCCCCTGCTCACATTTCACCTCTCCTTTTTTGCCCTCTTTTTATATTTGCTCCAGTCTCGCATCTCCCCTCCCCTGCTGCGCTTGTATTTTCTTTCTCTCGCCTCAGGTCCTCTCAGCTCTCCACCCATCCTCACCTCACCAACCTCCCGCCTTAACCTTTCCCGGTCTGCCCCCCCCTCCCTTTTCTCTCTTTCTCTTGTCACCTCTTTTAACCTCCACTCTTTCAACCAATAAATGTCCCTCCTCTCTGCCTGTGGCAGGTGCATTGTCTCCCCATTAGTGAAATTTGGGGCTTCACCTGGTGAGACGTTTCACCTTCTATACACGGCTAGTGTCACTCAGTGGAGCAATATCCTTATTTAGTATTAATTGAGACAAATTGGCGCCTCGAGGCGAGATGATTTACTGCAGCATGATGAGGTTTTTATACTTTCCCTATGTTTACATCCCTTCCAAGAGAGAGGGCAATTTGTATTAGAGGCCCAAGCACTGCAGCAAAGCACTCACTGCAAAATGAAAACAGGAACGAGAGCCACCTAAAGAATGAGGTATACGATTATTAAAGAATATGAATTAATAGACTCGCTGGAATTAACTTGCAGAGGCTTTATCAGAGCTTTCTACCTAATAACCGCTAAGAACTGCAAATATGGAGCTTACATTTCTTTTAACAGGGAGAGCATATGAAGAAAGCATAATGGGCCCTGTTCAAAATAATTCAATATAAAAGTTAAAAAAATGTTAAATCTGATATTATTTAATTAAGTTTTTAAACTATTTCAAAGAAATAATTTTCTTGACATGAACACCTCAAAAACTGGTTGAACAAAAACTTCAACTGCTATCAGCTAGCACGAAAAAATTCAAAATGAATTTTAAATCAACTTTTTTGACATCACAAACCCGCTCTAGTTAAATTACCATTTCTCCAATGCAACGACTCTGCTGCTTCAGCAGGACAGTTTGCCCCCATCCCCAAGACTAATGGTGAACCTTTACCAGGTGCTTTCAAGTAGGGAACGCTCTCCTGCGGATTCACTCAGTCTTTGAGATTTGTATTGAAACAGAAAACGTGAGTCTCCTATTTTTTTTTTTTTTACGTTTTTGTCTTCAGGGATTTTCCGCAGAAGATGGCGTCAGCGCTGTCGGAGAACCCAGCCTCGGTGATTCACTCCCTCAACCTGGCTCATAACACACTCGACAACCAAGGTGGCGGACTGACCTCTGTGACCTCTCTCGCTCCATCTCCCTCCTACTGCCGTCTCTGCCGCTCATTGCTCTTTCACTGCTTTTGTTCCCTGCCAATGAATTCCAAATCAATGTCATCACAGAACACTTTTTTTCTGTTCCTTTCTATTTGTCTCTCATCTATCGTTCATGTCTTTTATTATTTCATTTTCTCCAGTCTCGCCCACATAGGAGCTCACAAACACACACATGTACAGAAACCTACGTTTTAATTTGGTGTGCCTCACTGAATGTTGACCACTATAGGTCGCTTGTGCTCATTCTTCCTCGTGTGTGTTGAGTGTGTGCAGACTACAGTTTCGACTCAAAGAGCCTTAACCACCATCTCAGTAATCCCTTTAATCACAGTCAAGAATGACCTTCGGTGATGCTGTGTCTGTTTAGAAAGGTTACAATGTTTCTCTTCTTACGCCTTTTAATGCTGCTACTAGTTCTTTATATATACATTTGTTCCGTAACCAGGAAACCCAGCTTGCCTCTAGAATAGCATTTCATTTGCAGTTAGATACGTCAAGTACCCTTTCTGTCATTATGCAACACTTCCTGCATGCAAACACATGACAGACAAAACAACAGTAGCACTTTCCTGTGGTGCATTATTTCAATCATTACGAGGAGTGTAAACGGCAGCTCCAACCACATATAATATGATATTCTTATCGTTCCACACATGCATGACTGCAGTGAGTTTAGTGCGATCCCTGAGCTGAAGCGAGGTGTTATGTAATGCGGCTCGGCATATGTTATTTTTGTGGGTTTGTTCCTGCAGCGGGCATGTGGGAGATTGTAAAGTATCCTGGTGAGATGTCATTTCCTTATATTTAGCGTGTGCGTGTGCGTGTGTGCGTGTGCGCGCGTGTGTGTATGTGCGCGTGCGTGCGTGCGCGCGTGTTTTGGAGACAATGTATCCAGAGGTTTTATTTTGGCTTGATAAGTGGCAAAGCTCTGTGTGGGTAAAAATATTTTTCATCATCAGTTCTGTCAGTTATGTCCACGATCGTTCGTTTGATCGGTAAAATGTGACTCACAGCCCAATGGTTTGTTTGTTCATTATTATTCCAAAATATAAAAAACCCATTCAGTTCACAGTCCCCAAAACGTTATTTCTATGATTTGAATTGTAGCTTCTCTTCCTTTTGTCTTCTCTCCTCAAACCAGGCGTCTCCAACCTCATTCAACAAGTGTGCCGCCTCAACAAGGGACTGCGCCTCCTCAATCTCTCCAAGACCTCCCTGTCCTCCAAGGGTAGGTGCTCCTCAGAGACAGCAGCCTCTGGTGGCATTTTTTACTTGACTTTCATTGTCTCTCAAACCACAATCCTGCCCAAAATGCAGAGGGATTTTTTTGGGCCAGTTTTAACACGCATAGATGAACCGAGCCATGTACTGTACGATCCATCTACAAAATGATAATCAGGTCACAATCATAAGAGGTTGATCTGTTTTTTTTCTTTTTCAAATCCTACGTAGGCATTAGTTTAGTGTCCCAATTCTGTTGCTTTTATCCCAGAAAGTGCAGCTATAGGGATCATATTGTAAATCCTTAAATTAATAGCTGGATCATAATACTATTATCTTTTATTCCATTTATCTGATTAAGATCATATAATGTTTTTTACGTCTAGCAGCATGCCGCAAGGCAAAGGCAGCACCTACATACCCGGAAAATATGTAGTTAAGTCTGGGACTATCTTACAATATGAACATTTACTTGTCATGGACGTGAACATACTTTACATCAATGGGTGTGGCTGCTATTTCTTCCTCCACAATGCGATGCAGATGTAACCTTTGTATTATATTAGTAATACTTATAAGTTATATTAGAGTATTACTTCAGTTGAAAACATTTCTATGAAGAAACTACTCGTTTATTGCCCAGGATTATCTATTGACCTTTGTTGTATTAAGAGCACTCTTTCTTGTTTAGCAACCTGAAGAGCCGTTTAAGTGTCCTTGCATTTTGGTCTCCGAGTGATTTGTGTCTTCTTGGTTGCGCTGAAGAGAATGCCTTGTTAACATGATCTGCTTACTGCAGTCACTTTAATTTAAATGAATGTATCATTTTTTTTCAACATAGATCTGGTTATTTTGACTTCATCAAAGCATTTGTCACAGATTTGTTCAAAGATTGTTGGGAAAATGAATATCAGACATAAGTTCTGTTTTTACAGTTCCAGAATGTGATAAATGGTGTAAAAAAAACACACACACACACCCTAGGTGTTCAGTGCTTCAGTGCCTCATTCTGTGCGATCCTGTCATCTAAACGCAAACTGTGTCTTTCGCCGACTACACAGCAAAAGCCAAACTGCCTGCAGTATGGCTGCCTGCAGCCAAACTGTGTCTTTCGCCGACTACACAGCAAAAGCCAAACTGCCTGCAGTATGGCTTTGGTTCTGTGATATCTGGGCTCTAGAAACCACTCTCCCGTCTACTGCTGGAAGATGGCTAACCGAAGGAAATAAAGACAGAGAGGCGCTTCGATTGAATGTATTTTCGCCACTGCTTTCTCACCAGCCAGCTTCAACTCGACGCTGCCTGCTGGTGAGAAAGCCGTGGCTAGCAAGCTAAAAATACATCACTCTGAACGTTATTCCCCACAGCTATTATGTATGATGAAAAAAATATCCTTTTTAGCGATCTGACCTCTTTGTTGGCTAAAATTACTTAAAACAGGAGGCTTTAAACGCTCTCTCATTTGCTACATAACCGCCCCCCGCCCCTGCGCGCTAGAAAAAATCTCTCCCAATCAATTCCTCTGGACCGGGTGAAGTGCCCCTCGCGCTCCGTTGGGCGGCATGCCGAGGAAGGCGGTGAAACATAATTATACAGTCGCAAAGCTTGAGTGTTGTGTACATGCCGAACATGATGACCTCAATGTGTACTTTTATGAACGGGAGAAAGCACATTGGGGGGGGGGGCGCACAAACAGACAACGGGTTGACACAATGATTCCAGGGGGGATGCGGTGACGCTGCTGACCTTGAGTGGCAGGTTAAGTTATGACTTTGCAAGGGCTGTCTATTTTTTGTTGAATATTTATAGATGCACACACACACACACAGGTTTCCGTGATGTAATCAGACATGCAGATTGGCCGACACATGGGCCCACCCACTTGACATTGTCACACGGACCGTATGGCTCCTGAAAGGCTGATGGATAGATGAAGTGGGGGATTAGACGCCCCGTCTCCTCTTCTCCTTATTTCGCTCCTAATCGCCACAAATTAGGGATGAAGAGCTTAGCGCCTTGCCAGCTTTGGAAGAGCACAGGCAGCAGCTGACTTCTCTGTCCCCAGCGCTTGAGAGAAGTAAAAAATCTAATCGATCGAGTCAATTGCACAAAGATTAATGGCAGATGTTGTTTTTTCTTATTCATTGCCGCTGCCAGATATTTCTCCCGTGTTTCAGGTCTATATTTAATCCTCGTGCTGTGCTTTGCATCACTCAGGGTGAGGATTTTAATGAGTGGTTGAGCCGGGCCCGTGGGTGTAATTGTGTTGTGATCTGATTTGAGAGAGAGATTTTCTTTTGTTGTGGAGGGAAAAAAAAGTTGCTGGCTTCTCCCAAAAGCTCATTTGACACCAACCTGCTATCGGAGTAGAATAGTCAGCGCAATCACTTCTTTTCCACACAGCTTGCTCATCTTCTTTCATAATGGAGATTTGAAATTCACTAGTTGCAAATAAGTTCCGTCCAGGGCTGAGTGAAAGAAGACTATAAGATCCTGTCCTCTATGCCGCCTCCGTTAGGTGTGGTCACGCTGTCACAGGCGTTGTGTTCAAGTGACGACTACTCCAATTCTCTGCTGCACCTGGACCTCAGCAAAAACCCCGGGGTGCTGTCCGGAGAAGATGCCACGGTGAGGACCACGCACACAAGTGTATACACAAGTGTATTTTCAGCCACCTGTTTTTATCCAATGTTTCCTTTTTCTTTTATTATTTGTCTATAAAACAACGCTTTGAGTTCAAAGAAAGAAAGATTTTAGATACAAATGGTGTAAAAAAGAAGATGCTGCTGAGACCGTTCCCTCCTGAGTGAATATGTGAACCAAACAGAAGTACTGGACATATTTCCATCATGTTTCTCCACTGCTTTAATGGCACACGACATTGTAGTCTCGACCACCGCCTGTTTTGCTCAATGGACAATCATTTAAAATTAATTTTACCCTCCCAAGACTTCTTGGACCTACTGCGGAGTGTCCCCACAGCAGGATGCATCACAGTAGAGATGCTGCAGTACGTTTTATGGCGATACGATTAGTGGAAAAAACTCATCGGACCACTGAAGGAGACTTCAAAGTCTCCCGCCTGCCTTCTGACAAACCGCTTTTCCTTTGAAAGTATTTTTTTTTTATCCAAGGGTGGCTTTCTCTTTGCAGCTCTCCTGTAGAGCCGCGACAGGTGAAGCACCTGGCGACCCGCTCTTGTCTGCGGCGTTTCTCGATCTGGAGCTCCTTCAGGGGCGTCTCGTGCACTCAGTCACTTTTTGAAGACAGCCAACTGTAGGCCGATCCTCAGCTGTGTCATGAGTCTTCCATTTCTGAACCATCATTTAACAATCCTCAAAGGGGGAGGTGTAGTAGTATGCCTGCCTGTAATTTACCCAAGATTTCAAAGATTTGAAGCATCATACATGAAGCCGACATTCGAATGATGCATTTGTGATATTTGGCATGTCGATCATTCTGTCTAAACACAGTATTTCTGCACGGTTGCAGGTGAGTGAGTGAGTTTTCTTTTAGTTTTTTTTGAAGCACCAGTAAAAGAGTGCGTTGACTTTTTTGTGCAGCCAGTCCAAGAGCTTCTTTTTTTGAAAAAACAGAACATTTCTAAGAGTGTCGTCAGTGTGTTTGAAGAGCACCCGTCTTTTCATTCCATGGACACTCGTCATTAGTACTAACAGCCCATGTACTGTGTTGGTAAGAACTGTTTTTCCTTGTGACATATAAGGAGCTTTTATGTTCAACAGTGTCAAAAAAGCCACATTAAATCTACTCTGATGCAAAGTTACAAAACTGAAGAAACATCCACTAGCGTTGTGGAATGTTTTCTTGTAAGCACCGCATGCAGATGTATGTATGTATATTTCCCACATGTATTCTCTAACAGACACACTTCTTCTGGTGCAGAACCTCTACCTGTTCCTGGCCCAGCCCAACTGCCTGGTCCATCTGGACTTGTCTGGGACGGACTGCACCGTGGACTCGGTTAGTACTCATTGTCTCTCTGCTGGTCACTATCCCACCCATCCCCATCTGATCTCATCTCCTGGATGGGTTTCAGGACAGGGAACAGAAGGGGAGGGGGGGAAATCAGCGTCTTGCATATGAATGGCCCACAACACAAAAACGCTGGTACGTGCTAGATTTGTACACTGTTATAACAGACAGAGTCCTGTTACATTGCCTAAATTTAGCATGTCTGGCACCGTGACAAAGCGGCGTCTTGCCGCTTTAGCCGTTATGCTAACGGGTAAGAGGATCACAGAGCTTTTCCCTCCAGAATCCAGTGACTGCTGCCCCTGCTGGTGACTGCTGAGGGAGCACTTTGTCCTGGTTTAGTGTGAAGTTACAATATTAATAATAATATAATACACCTCATTCAATTGAATGATCGGGTGTATCCAGACTTTTGGCCGGGGGGGGACTCTGGTTTAGTGGGGGAACGGCGCTGGCTGTCATGAAGGTCGCCATGATGCCTCGTCATCTCTTAAATCAAGCATGATTGCTCATCTCCAGGTCTTAAAACAACTTTCAGCTACTTGACGTACTCCCATTGCTTCACAGTAAAGCCACCCTGTGGTCCGTCACGTGCTGGGATCTAGCAGCAGTAGGACATCTACACGCCAGCAGTAACGTGATATAGCTGTGGCAGTAAAACACTGAGGCTTAGCTAGAATCACAATCAATAATGTGGGATTACATGCGTCATTTCCTCGTGCGTGTGAAAGAGCGGTTGATCTGTCGTGGATATAGCGGATGCTGACATTTATAATTAGTCATGCACAGCCCTCTCACAATACAACTCCAGCCAATCAGCAGCAGTCAGCGGTTGTGCATGTGTGTAAGGGAAAAGGCCATAAATGTAAGAAGTGAGGGTGGGGGGGGATTGTTTGGGTGATGAGTTAAAAACAATCTTTCTCCAGAAACACCACAGCCTTCTTAAGTGAAGGATCTGAATACTTAACTTATTCACATTTGTTAACCACAATGCCTTCCAATTTACTGCACGTGTGTTTGCTTTCCTTCCTCACTGCACTTCACTCGAGCAGTTTTAAACCCCAAGGAGCTGGCAGCTTGTCAGCAGGAATCCCCCCCCCCTCTCCCCCCCCGTGAAACTAATCCTCCTTTCTCTCCATAAATGTGGGCCATCAATTTTGTATTGAATTATGTGCATGAGTGATTATGATTATGTGCAAGTCCGTACAACTATTCTGCTTTCTTTGCATGTTCTCGAACTTTGCCTCCCCCTTTTCCTCCTTAAATATCCCCTTGAGACAAAGTGTTCCCTCTGTGATGGCTGCTTCATGACTTGTTGGTTAATTGTCATTAATCCTTTCAGAGAGGAGCTGTCTGCAAGAGAATCTGTCTTTTTTAGTGTTGGGTTGTTGGGTTGAATTATTAATAAGCTCCTGTTTTTAATGCGTTGATGTACCGACAATGGTCAATTAGTCAATTTGAGTGACGGATCACTCTGCCAGGGAATAAATGGTTTTGATCCGATAGTTTAACCTCTGGCAGAGAGGAAGAAGAGATGCAGCTACAAATCGTACAAGAAATTGGCTTTTGATGCTGATCATCTTTTGCCTGCATCAAAAACGTGCATTAATCTTTGTTACGTGATCTAAAGGATCACTTTCCAATCCCTGCATTTTCCCGTGTAGTTTCAAAGTAAGCCATATCTTCACAAAATGAGAGATTGGATATGCACTTTGATGGAAGGGAGGTGGATGATTGCATAGCTGCATCATGTCACATTCATCATATGAGAATGAGACATTTGATTGATGCAGCACAATTCATTTGGTTTGATATTATTCCGTATAATTGGAGAATGTGAGACAGTAAGATTTCTATTGAACTGATTTGGTTTCAGCTTGATTCTTATGCAGTTTAAAATAATTACTCTTTTTATTGCCTATTCAGGTGTGCTATTTACAATTTGTAGTGTTTTAACTTTCTGTGAAAGACTGCCGGAAACCACGTGTGCTCTCTTCCATTCACCCTGAAATGGGTCAGTACAAGGGGATTTCCTACTCATTGGGCCTAAATCACAATCAAGACAATTCTTTTTTTTCTTCTTTTAAAAATGTTTTTTTTTTTCTTTTAATCAAATCCAGTAAAGGGTATCGTGTTTTTTGTCAATGCAACAATGTTGAAACATTGACAATCTTTCCCAGCTTGACAGCTCTTGTCCTCTGACTTTTCTAGAAAATTGTTTATGGATACATTTAAAATTCCACTAAGAAAAATGGCGAATATGTACTTCTGGTATAAAAATAAACGTGTGTCACTGATATATCCTTAAACATCACACGGTTTTATTCAAAGCGACTTACATTGCGTTTTTAACCCATGGTTCACATTTGCCCGGGGAGCAGTTAGGGGTTGGGTGTCTTGCTCAGGGACACTTGGTCATGGACCAGCCGGTGATCGAACTGCCAACTCCGCGGTTCCCAGCACCCCTTCTCTACTCCACACACCACGGTCGCCCACAGCATCAGGCATCAATGCGTCTACGCCGCAGTATACTCACCTTCAGTTTGTGATATTTAATATTGAACTGTGCAAATCACATTTAATTGAGTAAAAGCTACTTTCCAAAGCTGTCCACAGCTAATCCCAAAGTGTAAGCATCAAGTCAAATCCTCAGATCCTCCGCTTCTTCTCACAAGGCAGAGTGGAAACATTTGGCCAAGCTGCTTTCAGAAATTCCACTTCAAGCAGCTGGAACGGCCTGCCAGAGGATCAGAGAGCAGCAGAAAATATTGATATTTTTATGCATGAACTGAGAATCCATCTATTTAGTCTGACTTTCATGCAGTAGTTTTTTAGTCATTGTGGTTTCATTTCTTATTCTTATTTATTTGTTGTGTGTTTTACTACTACTTTGTGTACATTATTAATCATTGCAACTTATCTTATCAGCTTATATAATCAACATTCCACCTTTTTTCAATTACTATTAAAGCACCTGGTCGTTAATTTGACTCCCACTGAAGCTGATAGACCACAAAAACACCCTTGGGTGCTTTGTCCAAGTGCACAGCGTAGTAATAAAGATAATGAAGACATATTTTGTGTGTGTATGTTTCAGTGTTGACCCTCAGAAAGCGCCAGTTCAATTCATCACATTCACCACGTCCCTTGTCGTCACACTCGATGCTCATTACTTTTGTGCGTGTGTGGCTTAATGTGTCCAGACTTAATGACAAAGATAATATCATTCTACAAAACCAAAGCATACGGCACAAAAAGGATCGAGCAACTGTCAAAGAATTGCAACAATCACTTTGTCCTTATTTGACCAGCAGTAACCTCTAATTTGTTCTGTAAACATTTCTATAATTATATTATTTAATGTCAGCCCTATTGGCAGCATGATGCATTCAGGGACCTTTTTATTGCGGAGGTTTCTGCAAAGAAGCACATACAGCAGCACCGTTCTTTTCAGTGGGTTAAAATTGCATTTGTGTTAGCTTTAATCATTTGTGCAGCGTTCAGGAGCCAAAATAACTGTTACACAACACACTCCCATTCTGCTGTCTTGAACACAACACAGCTCATTTCTCTCTGTCCTCTGTTTCTCTGCCAGCTTTTTGGGGCCTTGCTGCGAGGCTGCTGCGCTGACCTCTCCTACCTGAATCTCTCCAAGAATTCCTTCTCTCACAGGTGGGCGTTCACCTCCAGTCTAAATCAAAAATAAAGTATGTGGGGTTTTTTTCCCCCTGAAAAGAACAACATTTGTGTTCCTCCATGTGAGGATTTCCTGTCAGGAGGCACGGAGCGAGCACCCTCATTAATTTCTACTGTAGATTACCGTTTAGCCCTGGACCTCAGCGACGTACAGTGCATCCGGAAAGTATTCACAGCGCTTCACTTTTTCCACATTTTGTTATGTTACAGCCTTATTCCAAAATGGATTAAATTCATTATTTTCCTCAACATTCTACACACAACCACCCATAATGACAAAGTGAAAACTGTTTTTTGCAAATTTTTGCAAATCTGTTAAAAATAAAGAACGAAAACATAACATGTACATAAGTATTCACAGCTTTTGCCATGACACTCAAAATTTAGCTCAGGTGCATCCTGTTTCCAATGATCATCCTTGAGATGTTTCTACACCTTGATTGGAGTCCACCTGTGCTAAATTCAGTTGATTGGACATGATTGAGAAAGGCACACACCTGTCTATATAAGGTATCACAGTTGTTGCATATCAGAGCATAAACCAAGCCATGAAGTCCAAGGAATTATCTGTTGACCTCCGAGACAGAATTGTATCGAGGCACAGATCTGGCGAAGGGTACAGAAAGATTTCTGCAGCATTGAAAGTCCCAATGAGCACAGTGGCCTCCATCATCCGGAAATGGAAGAAGTTTGGAACCACCAGGACTCTTCCTAGACTAGAGTTGGCCGCCCTGCCAGACTGAGCGATCGGGGGAGAAGGGCCTTCGTCAGGGAGGTGACCAGGAACCCGATGGTCACTCTGACAGAGCTCCAGCGTTGTTCTATGAAGAGAGGAGAAAATTCCAGAAGGACAACCATCTCTGCAGCACTCAACAAATCAGGCCTGTTTGGTAGAGTGGCCAGACGGAAGCCACTCTTCAGTAAAAAGCAAACGACAGCCGACAGGAGTTTGCAAGAAAGCACATGAAGGACTCTGAGACCATGAGAAACAAAATTCTCTGGTCTGATGAAACAAAGATTGAAATCTTTGGCCTGAATATATACGTGTTATTATATATATATATATATAAACACATATATAGGTATATGTGTGTGTGTTTGCGCAGAATGTGTTCCCCTCTGTTTGTAATGTACACTAGTTTGCTAACTAGTTTGCCATTTGTCAAGCACTTGTTTGGCTTTTTCGCGATGCAGAATCTGTGTGTGTGTGTTACGTTGTTTACCTCGCTAGCAGGCGAAAGCGGCTCTGGCTCATCATGCCGTGTCCCCCAGGAGCGCCCCTGCTCAGCATATTGCATTACACAATTACCGGGGAAGAAGTTTGTGAAAAATGAGACTCATTTTAGATGGAAATGATTGTTCCTCCGGCTCCCACGCCTGCATTTCACTCTCTCTCTCTCTCTCTCTCTCTCTCTCTCTCTCTCTCTCTCTCTCGCTCAGTGTCTTTGTATCTGCTGCATATCTCAATCGATCTTTTACTTTTTGCATCCGTCTGGCTGCACCTCTTTTTCCCCTCTTCTCTGTTCGCCTTCATTCTGGAGCTTTTTATGAAGTGATTGTTTGCTCTCGCTCTTTACCACTTGGCTCTCTTATTTCTAAGAGGAAGATGGCATTTCCCAGCATTCCACGCTCCTTCTACTGGACGTACACCCACTCCATCTATCTTCTCTACCTGGTTTTTAACCCTTCCTCTCTGTGGTGTTTTTTTGTCGCTTATGCCTCACTCCTTGCCTATTTCCTGTTATCACCTTGTTTACTTCCTTTTCTTCCCCCTTTCCTTCCTCCACTTATATTGCTTTTACCCCTATTTGCTCTCCTTTTCATATCTCTCCCTTCCATCCCCTTTAACACTGCGCTTTCTTCTTGCCCCCCCTCGCCCCTACCTCTTCCCTCCTCCCTCCATAGTGCACCCCGCCTCTTGGCGGTCCTGGGTCTTGTGCTATTAAATGCTCGCTGGCTCGAGTCACAACAAGGAGCCAATTGCTGAAGTGGGCTGGTAAAAGCCAGCCGGCTGCTGCTCATGGATATGGAACGCACATCTCAGACCTCTCCTTCACCCATCGAACACATACAGATGCCAGCTTTAGGATACATTGAGCGGGCCATGTAGATAGAGTTACACATACATACACACACACGCACGCGTCAGGTGTGGTAACAAGTTGTTGATACAGATCCCTGGAGAGCGTTCAGTGACACTATCTAGTTATGCAGTAGAGGCCTTTTCTGTATCCGCCGGGTCCTGACAGGCTGTATGCTAATCATTACAAATGGGTCAAAGAAGAGCTGCTGTTCCACACACTGGGAGGTTACCCTGCTAGCAATGACAGCAGCTTGTGATGCAGCTGCCTAGTTTTTCCATCACTACTTTATTGAATGTTTCTTTTTTTTTTGCCTCCCACCATCACTTCCTAATGACCTTTCTCAGTTTCTACCCTACATAACTTAATTTTCTCCTGCTTTCATTTCCTTCCTCTCGCTATATACAGTTTGATCTTTTAGCTCAAGCTTACATGGTTGTTGTTTGATATTACGAGATACATCATCGTGGCTGGTATTCAAGTTACAAAGTCCTATATCCAATTGTGATGGTGTCATTTTTAACAGCGCTATCTTACCCGTCCACGTCAATCAGTGGTTCCTGTGCGCTTTGGACAAAAAGGGCTTCAACTCACAAGTTCGATAGGCACAAAGGATTTTTGTTAAGCGGAATAGAAAAGAGCAAGTGTAACAATTTTTCATGATATTGGCAGCCAGTCACATTGCTGCTCTCGCACCAATTAAACAGCTGCCCCGACACGTGGGCACACAGGAGAGCTGGCTGTGTGATCGCAAAGGCAACCGGGGAGCAGCTTTTCAGTTTCACAGCACAAATTTTTCCCCCAAGGCAAGTGCTATGTTGTTTTAGGTATTGGAGGTCAAGTCATATATTTACCTGCAGTTTAATTATCAGGGGTCCTTGTTATGAAAGAAAAGCTCCATCTGAAGGTAACTATCTGTGCATGTAACCGATCAATAAATAAATAAATAGGAACATTTTCAGAAAAGAAATTGTGTGCAGTTGAAATATTTGGTATTTTAGTGTCTTCTGTTGAGTCATGTTCACTACTTGTTTGGGAGAAAGATGAGGCAGTTCAAGTTGCCACAGCGTTTCTCTATGAAGAATATGAAGACGTTAAACCCTTAGTCAGGTCTAAAGGTAACATTGCTTTCTCCTGCCAAATCCAGGAAGCAGCTGCCAAGGAAATCGCAGACTGCGAATGCGTAAATGAACCGATTCATGATATCGGTAGAGGAGTTGTGTTGCCTATATCAGATTTCTGTATTCTCTTAAATGAATGTGTCGCTTTAGATGTATTCTGATGAAACGGAGGACACTTTAGCCATCCTAAGGATATTGTGCCATATGTACAATGTTCTAGCTTCAAAATGTGAACTGTTAAGGAAGCAGAGTTGGACAGTATACATTGAAGAATCTGTTTTAACGAAACAAATTTTACAATCTGCAGCAAAAGTTTGAAATGCAAAAATGATATATATAATGTACATGAAATGAAACACTTAAACATTTAACTTTGAATTCACTAACAATATTTTGAATCAGCAATCGTGCAATAGTCTACACACTAAAACACAGTCTCCCTGACCACCTGAGGGCAGCACGGTCACTGGACTCTTAAAACGGGCCTGAAAACCTTTTTATTCAAGAAGGCATTTTTACAGTTTTTTTTTTCTTCCCCTGATGTTTTTACTAGCTTTTACTTTATTTTTAACTATGTTTTGCTTTCATCTGCTGATGACTGCGTTAGAAATAAAATGTATTATTATTATAGTTACGGGCGTATTTTAAGTGTCAGCTAAATAGAAAATAGTAAAGGTCAACAGTGGTATAACGCACTGTACAATCATTCTTGCATAGATACAGAAATAGACACAAACTGTGAGGTCAGACCTCTTAGTGTGTAGATAAGTAATGTCTACTGAACAGATTCATTGTGGCTCACAACTTTGATGACTACTATAGTAACTTCAATTCTAACTTTTTCCATAGCTTTTTATTACAAATGATTTGTAAAACTTATCACCATTCCCATTAGCTGCTTTTGTGCTTAGTGTTTATTGTCATTCTACAAGTGTTAGGACGCCAACACGCTGGATAAACCGTGAGCATACGGTAAACATTCTACCAGGTTCGGGCGTTGATGAGCTGTCAGCTGACGTGCTTTTTTTTTTGCTCTTTATTACTCTCTGATGTGGCTTTAATTTTGAAAGAAAATAACCAAGGATCACTCATCTGGTGTGACACTATACTGTAGCCGGCAAGACAACGACAAGACAATGAGTTCAATCAAAGTAAAGAAAAGACGCTTGCCAGCCTCCCGACACGTCGCGGCAGGAAATGCACAGCTGGAGCTCGTAACCACTGTGCTTCGTTTTGCCGCAGCCCTCATTAGCTAAATTAGCCCCACAAATTCGTGCCACGGTCCCTCAGAATAATTACCTGTAGGTGGTTCTGTCGTCTTGTCGATGTTCTGAAGACAGCAACTTTTGCAGGTAGACTAATGAGTCAAATTGAAGGGCCCCGTCGCCGAGGTAACCTTTGTGCCCCTTGTTTGGGAAGCAAATGAGCAGAAATACAAAATTCCAATAAAAAAAGGTTTCTTGTGCTGCGCAAGTAAACACACCTCCGCTGAGGAGAGGGGGCAGGTCGCTTTTTCTCGAAAAAAGTGGGTTGGTTCATTTGAAAGATGAACCCACCCAACACACCCACACCTCCTACCTTCCCCCCTCCCTCCGCCCTGTGCCTCGTCATCACAGGGCTGTCCAAGCAGCGGGGATGAAAAGGCGCCCTGGCTGCTTGGACAGGTTCTGAACACGCGGTGCGCAGCATCAATCCCGAGAAAGCAGACCACTGGTCCCCTCCTGTATTGTGGCTCTCGCTTTGTACATGCACACCCTGTCCTTCCTCTCTGATGACTAATGGATAATGCGCTGGATGTGCCAAGCAGATGGTTTCATAATTGATCAGCTTTGCCTTTTTAACTGTTGGCAGTTAATTAATGCCCACTTCACCCTCTCTGTGTCTGCTCGATGTAACATTGACCTAAAGGTCACCCACCCCTTCCTCCTCTGCTCCTCCCCCTCCTCCGGCATCCGCTGCGTTGTCTCCTCGTGGGCTCCCATCACCCGCTCATCTTTTCTCTCCTCCGTTCTTTTCCAGGAAAGCGAGAGATTCTCTGCCAACGTTCCGCCAGTTCTTCAGCTCTGCGTTCAGCCTGACCCACGTCAGCCTGGCCTCTGTGAAAGTCCCTCCTGATTCACTGAGGTGAGTCACTTCGCTCGCCCGTCCCGCCCTCCTCTGACCCCCTAAACGTGACCGGGGAATCCATCTCAGCGGGTCATCCCGCTACCTCTCTCTACCTCTCCTCGCACCTTTCTTGCCTCCTCTGCTCCCATTTCTGGTGGGTGGGACTGAGACGTGAGGAGATGAGGCAAGGAAAGGAATTGAGAATGTGAAAACTGATAAATGAGGAAAACCCGGCGAACGGCGGTGATTTATAGAGACCTTTTAAACGTTCTGTGTAATACTGTAAATGAGCCAATATGGAGGTGTAGGACAGCTGTTTCCTCTTCTTTTGGAGCCAGCTTTGCTTCTCAGGTTACAGTGGGGCCGCTGCACGCTCACGTCAATACGGATATCTGCTTAGAATGAAGGAGGTTCATGATGTGGGTGGTTAATACTGCAACTCATGGAGCCCGGCCATTTTAACTGTCCATCGCTTGAAAGTGCATTTTCGACTGTTTTTAGCCTCTCGGTGTCAACAAGCATTTCTGCTGCTGACCAAATGTAACGCAATAAACGGGGCCACTCATGCTCAAAATGTGTCCACTTGTGATGCTTTAAGGGGCTTCTGTTTGAAGCACTTTCTAAATTACACCCGGGAAGGATCACCGCTGAAGCCCTTTTTACATTTCATATCCAAGCTTCTTGCAAACGGCTATTGACGAGAATTTCATAAAAATTGGCTTGAACACTAAAATAGCTCACACCATACGGTGTGCAGTTTGCATCCAACCCATTGGTGGGATTCAATCATCGAGGCTGTGCTTGGCTTCAAACACTTTCCCCTCGACAGCGGAGCCGTTTCTTTTTGGGGGGTTTTACAAGTTGGTGGAGGACACGGATTGAAGTTCCCCTCTTTGTGTATCCTGACCAACTTCAGCAGATCTGACAGCGTGAAAGAGCAAAAGACAAAAAGCTGGTTTCCCTGAGAGAATAGGCTAAGTACTGCTACTATACTGTCTGCAGCCTGCTGTCAGCTCCTCCTAGCCAAAAACACACAATCAATAGCAGAGTATACTAAGCAACCTGCCAGCAACAATAGAGACAACTGCATGCTGCACCTAGCACTTCTCCTCATGGCGCACATCTCTTAAATGTGTATTTGTTGCATGAGATTAAACTCTATCTATTGGACTCTTGTCGTCCAAATAGAGTCTTCCTCTTCCATCCAGCAGAGCGCGAGCAACAATTGGCCAAATGTTGGAGATTTCCTTTTTGCACTATAAATCTCCTTTTTAAGCTACTTTTCTGTAAGTCCCTTAAGATGGCTCTCTCACTTTTAGGTGTGCATATGAGGACGGTGAGTCTGAGGATCTGTTCAGGTTGCTTGAGGGAGGAAAATAAGCAATTTGATTTATGTGAAATTGAATTCAATTAATTTTCCTTTGTTTCTCCTCCTTTTCTGCTTCATTATGCTCTCTCCTCTTTTTTCTTAACTGCTTTTCCCTCAATCTCCCCCTTTTCACTCATTGTCCCCTGCCTGTGTTTTCCTTCAGGGCTCTGTTCCTCGGCCTGTCCAATAACCCTCATATCTCTGATTTACACCTGGACATCAGCAGCTGTGAGGTATGCTCTGTTAGTCTTGGCTCTCGCTCATCTTGGTCATGGATGCTCTGCTATCACGTCTCACTCCTCTCGGTCTTCCTCCCTCAGCTAAGGTCAGCGGGTGCTGGGGTGATTCAGGAGCTGTTTCCTCGAGTTTCATGCGTGGGCACTTTAGACATCTCCGATAACGGTGAGAGACACGCCCACACAACAACAACAACAACAACCCCCCCCCCCCCCCCACACACACACACACACAAATAGACCTGATAGATGGACCCCGACTTAATCTAAATTAGATTTATCAGATTAGGACACATTGCAGTATTTCAGGGTTCCCGCGGGTCCCTAAAAAGTCTTAAAATGTCTTAAATTAAAATTCGGGTAATTTAGGGCTTAAATTGTCTTAAATTTCACGTAAAGGTGCTGTAAGTATTAATTTTTTTGCCGGTGCGCTTAATGCCGACGAGAAAGCACCGTGGCGCATTATAAAACATCTAATAGTTGATTAATTTAGTATTGTGCGAAATGAGTCTCCGCAATTGAATAGCTGTTTACGGTACGTCGGCTACAGACGCTGACGTCAGGCTGCGTGTCGCCATTACGCGGTTGTCGATGTGAGGTTGAAAATGCAAAGAAGATGGGGCAAATTTAACGACAAGTGGATGGAAGAGGATGCATTTAGGAGGTGGTTGGCGCCGCTTGAAAACAACAATGAGGCAATGTGTAAACTATGCAAAAAGACCTTTTCATTCGGGACCATGGGGCTGAAAGCCGTCGAGTCGCACATGAAAGGAGGAAAGCACCAGCGATATGTTGCAGCAGCTAGCCATAGCGGGGCCAGGTTAATCCCTGCATTGTTTGCAGCACGACCTAACGACGTTACAAGTTCACACGCCACCTCTGTCGGCTCTAACAAGTTTCATTTCAACACCAGACACCCAAAAGGCAGAGGTACTGTGGGTTCTCTATACTGTGACGAGGCACAATTCTTTTAAATCTAATGATGACATACGTGGCGTCTTTGCTGCCATGTTCCCCGATTCGCAATGCATTGTGTTGTTTAGTGTAATCCAAACTTATGTATGTTATGTTGGCTCTGTTCTGCATCACAAAGGAATCACTTTGATTGTTTACATCTGTATTGGCTAAACAGTGTTGGAAGGGTTATTGTCAGTTATTATACTGTCTCCTAATTTGAAAAATAGTTTTGATTTCCATTGTAGGAGGCAATAAATTGCGTATTCCAAAGATATTGTGACATTTTTGGGTCTTAAATTGTATTTGTTGAGGTCTTAAAAAGGTCTTAAAAAGCATTACATTTTACTTTTGAAATGGTGCAAGAACCCTGTATTTGTAGTGAATCAATGCTGCAAGCATTTAAACTAAATGGGAACTTCACTGGTTTTACACACAAAGTTCAGTTGGCCCATCCTGTGATGAGCGCGTCTGGCGCAGTGATCTCGGCTTGGATTTAAAATAACACATTTTTTACATAAAATCTGGGCAATTGAAACGTATTCGAAAGCCCCACTACTTGGTAACCTGCAGAATTGCAGCAGCTGTGAGCGTTTTGCTGGGGGAAAGAATCCCCTTAATAAACCTAAATGAATATTAAAGCGGCAAATCTTCAGTAGCAAAAGCTGATCACACAAAGAGGGGGCAGCTCTGGCGGTGGCGGGTTAACCTTGTTAACATTATGATGATGTTACGAACAGCAGAGGGACAGTGAGATGGTCGTCAGCTGAGCAGAGTGGTTGTAAGAGAACGCTCTGCCTGAGAGCACACAGCTCTACTCAGTAATAGCGGTAACAACTGTTTTTATTCAGTCTGTGCTCCCAAACGGGCAAATTGAGCAGAGACCCCAGCTGTCTGCGACATATTGATTTAGCAAATTTGAGTAATTGCCAATTTGTCAGTGATTTTCCACCTCTTAAGTAAACTGAAAGCTATGACAGGTCCTTCATCTAGTAAATCCCTCAGAGAGAAGCCTGGTTACGGTGCATTATGTTTGATCAAAGCACACAGTCATTTAACACAGAAGCGTAAGAAGTGACAGTATTATCCAGCATAGTTGTTGCTTACATAGTACCTTGTATACCCAGTACTTCATGTGGACCCTGTACACACGCAAGCCCATAGGTGGGGGGTATAGCTCGAGGTATCTGCCACATGATGTATAATTTGACTGTTTGGAGTCACACAATTACAAAGACGCATCCGACTTTTATTCTAACTCGCTCTTCCAAGGTCCAGGGAAATGAACAGAGAGGCCCACCAACACTTATGTATGAAGTATGAAAAACACATTTTTCAGTCATGTGTTAGTATTTAGAAACCACAAGTGCTGCTGGAGTTTGTAGACCCACAACCTTGAAGCACTTGACCACCCCGATTCCGGCTGTGTCACAGTTTCTATCTTTGACGCGAGAATAAACTCTCCAAATGACTCAGGCCAAAATATCTGGCCATGCTAACTACTTCCCCTTCATCCTCATCCTCCATCCTAACTAAGCTAAAGTTAGGAGTATTTTGGCATTTCAGTGGGCAAAAGCTTTTGAGCCATAAATGTTAACACATGCCGAAGTAAATGAGTGCCTGCTGTGACAGCTCAGCATTTTTTGTATTAAGAAATATGTTCTTTTTCTGTTTGGAAAAAAAACTCGATTTGATTTTGTTCAATATTAAAGGGGTAGTTTGGCTCTTCCGAATTGAGCTTATATCTGTGCTCTTTAAACGTAACCCTTTAAAACAACAGTTTCCAGTGGGGTAAACTCCTGTTTTAGTCAGATAAGTCTTGTGACTTTGAAGAAAGCATAGATGGAGATAACTGCTTCATTAACCCTTGGAAATAGTAATTTGAAAGATAGTGAAAATTGTCAAAATGTGGCGCTCAATTAAACCCGTATTGATTTCATATAGTGGGGCTTTTCTCCTAGACGACTAAAATAGGTTTAGCTGCCATTCACAGCTGTACATTGCTATGCTTCTGTACTCCTGCCTGCTTCTCCAAAGTGGAGGCTTGACCCGCCATCTCCTCGAGGTATAAACACTGACTATGGATAAGTGCATCGTCTGAACCATCCCTTTTACCGAAATTTCATGCCAACCGCTTTGTTAAGATTAACTCCAGCATCACGGAGAGCGTAGCATCGCTTTGCCCTCCAGTGATGTGTGTGTGCTGTGCTGTGCGCAGGTTTGGACGCTGACTTGCTGGCTGTCGTCCCGGCGTTTTCGCGGCACCCTTCCCTCAAACACCTGATCCTGGGGAAGAACTTCAACATCAAGGGCAGGTACGGAAGACGCAGGACTCCAGTGGTACGGATGGTTGCGCGGACGCTCCTGTTGATGAATGAATTTCCCTCTTCTCTCCGCCTCCTCAGGGTGCTGGAGGAGACTCTGCAGAAACTGGTTCATCTTGTGCAAGAGGAAGAGTGTGTGAGTTGGATTGTTATGTAACATATTAAAATTCTCAGCGGCACGCCGCGCAGATGCACGGCTTCGCGCGCACACACACACACACAACTGTTACCGTTTAAAACTCCCTGTCCTTATTCATAGGCGCAATCTCCCACCTGCCACACACCCAAAGTGCGAACATGCACTCGAGTCAGTCCCGGCACAACATTCATTCAGTCTCTGTGCACGCAAAGCTCCCGTGGCCCCTCCGCTGTCTGCTCTGCAAATGCAGCACGACAAGTTGCTTATTCAATTATTTACCACTGTTGACGGTGATCGCTCACAACGATGCTCTCACTCTCAGTGCGGTCAGGCACAGCAGCAGTGGCACAGATGTGGGTCTGAGTTCAAAGAATATGCAACAAGTGTGTGTGTGCGTGCGTGTGTGTATATGTGGCAGTGTGCGTGCTGCACAATTTGATGAGTCACAGGAGGCTGCGAGCATCAAAAGTGAGGGAAAGAGACGCTTCGCTTAGTGGAAGTAGAGAGAAAGAGCCTGTTTCTGTCCAAGGGGAACCAGCATACATCATGGTACATCATCGTAGTCCATGGTAAACATACCATGGACTACAAATGATTGTGTATGTAACGGCTTGACATAGTTTCTAGTTCTGGGGGACTTGATAAATATATGTTGGCTCTTATCTTTAAAACTCAATTAGACATAATGAACTTTATTTTTAATTTTATTCATATTTGATGGTTTTTATACTGGTTTTAACAGGTTTGGTTAAACCGGTATTAAAAACGTGTCTCTGTAGTGTACTTCTCACAGAGCTCTGTGGCTGCAAGTAGTTGATTACTATGCACGGGAGTCTCTGCCCGTATAGAAACAATACATGATTCAACTGCACATGAATAAGCTTTTAAAAATCTAATTTCCATCCCGTTCTTTATTATGGAAAATCAATAATACAGGAATACGGATGAAAACCTGGTTTTGCAGGGATTTTGTAATGGTCATTAAAACCACTAATTTCCAGATATCTTTGAAAAACAAAACCTCCCATTTATTTCCCTCTTTAAAGTCGATGATGTCCATCTCGCTCTTCCCGCCTCCTGCAGGCCCTGCAGTCCCTCTCCCTGGCTGACTCGAGGCTCCGCCAGCGGGGCACGGTGCTGGTCAACGCCTTGGGCTCCAACACCTGCCTGCGGAAGGTGGACTTGAGCGGCAACCTGCTAGAGGACTCCGGGGCCAAGATGCTCAGCAAAGCCCTGCAGATCAACACAACACTCAGGTGTGTTTTTTTATGTATTATTGTTATTTCTTTATGGGAGGAAAAGGAGGGATTTTCTTGCGTATCAAAGCGCACTGTATAAGATAAAACAGAAAGGTGTTCGGAGTGAAAATTACCATGTTTGGTGGGGTTTGAGTAGAGACGGTGTACTGAGGTTGCAGAACAGCGAGTGCAGTGCAGTGCATTGCTTCAAACATCAAGGAAAAGCAAAAACCATGAAGGAGATAAGAAGGTAAGACTGAGGAGTCGCAGGGATGGAGTGGAGAAAAGGTGCAGGGAGGGGAATTGGCCTTACAATGAATTTCACCAGAAAATAAAAGACTGAGGGAAGAGGTGGAGGTGGAGGAAAGCATGGAGCAGATGGAAAGCTGTGAGACGGGCTGTAAGAGTGAGGGGAAAAGGAGGACGTGAGTGAGATGGGTGGGCCGGATGGAATTCAGAAAAAGTTGGATACGGAGATGAGGAAAAGTTAAAAAGGGACGGCAGAGGGAGACCACCTAAGGAGAGGGATCCGAGTTGCGCTGATGGAATTTCTAGGGCAGAGCGAGTCAAGGGAAGCAGAGAAGGAGATGGAGGAGGCGGATGGATGAGAGGAAGGAGGGACCTAGAATGACTGATGTAAAAGCTCATTAGCTACACGACGGTTGTTTGTGCGTTATTAATGTGGAAAAAAAACACACATCACAGTCTGTGTATAATGCTTTTGTGCAGATAGGTATGGTGTGTTTGTGTGCGTTTTTAGGAGCATCAGAAAGTGACTCATCCGCTTGTTTGATCCCTCTCAGGAGTGTGACGTGGGATCGCAACAACACCACGGCGACGGGCTTCCAAGACGTGGCGCGAGCACTGGAGCAGTAAGATGAACACAACTAAGAAAAAATAATAAAAAACGTTTTTGCAGGGTGGGGTACACACATAAAACGGATCTCTCTCTCTCACACACACAGTCTGCTGTTACACAGCGTTTCATCAGTTCCTTGAGGTGCATGCCAGTCAAACTGTCATGTTTTTTCTGAGTGTGTGTTTGTGTCGCTGTACAGGGGTGTGTGAGTGTATTTGCGTATTATTAAGGAATTGGAGACGACTGTCATGAGGGACCTCTGCGTTTGTTCTTGTTAACATCCGAGTTCTTCCTCTTTGTTGTTCAGATATAATCTCCTCCTTCTTCCCCCCTCTTTCCGCCTAATAGCAACTTTACCCTTCAGTACATGCCCCTCCCCCTCAGTGATGTCACTCAGGCGTACCGCAGCGCCCCGGAGAAGACGGACCAAGCCCTGACCAAGGTGAGAGAAGCTTTTATTGAGTTTTGTGATTTCTAAATTCGCTGCACCATGTTCTAAAAATCCTAATGACCGTCCGGATGATGATTTACGACTTTGATGAATGACTGTGATTTGCCTGTGCATTACAAGAGAGGATTTAATGGAGACATTTTGATGGATTGTTATATTGTTGTGGGAAAACTACACAGAATGTGTGCCATAAATAAGTTTGCATGAAAAGGCAATTACTTTTCAGTGAGCTCTTGAGTGTTTGCGTTGCAATATCTGACTAGAATAATGAGAGATATGGTGATCTGCTAGAGTACTCTTTCAGTGGCTCAATTTGTGTTACAGTCCCCTCCAAAAGTAAGGAATTTTTTTTATGAACAGCACAAATGTCATAGTCTAAACACTTCGTCTAAACACACCTTTTAACACCGTCTTCATATAAATCAATCCTTGCACACATTTTTCAAGCAAATATGCCAGAAGTTACATCAGTCAACCCTTTTGATTTAATTTCCTAGTTTTATTTGTTTGATGTCCCAATAACTTAATTATTTGGGGTTTTGTTCATGTGTGTCACCCGGTGTGGCGGTTATCTCAGTGGTGCACTTTTCATACAACCAATCAAAACGTTCAATTTTTTTAGCCACATTTGCATCAAGCGCTAACGTCCCGTCATTTGCCTGACAGTGAGATTTGGTGACATGCAGACAGCCTCCTCCAACAAAGACCCAAAAGAGAACAAAGACTGCGTGCAAACATGAGCTTGGATACCATCATGTTGTGTTAAAACCCATAAATAAACATCCAGTAGTGAAAAGTGTGCTTGCTATGATTTTCCCGAATGGTGTGGTCGTTGTTGTCGGTACCACTACTGATATATGCAATATGCCGTTTGTCACTTTGCTGGTGAGCTGCAGTTATCAGGGCAAGTCGTTGACATTGCACGTCAAACTCCCTTTTTTCCGACGGCTGGGCTGTCAATCACAGACAACATCTCGCCTCCCTGGGAGCTCAGAGGATGAAGGAGCATTTGAGATCTCCAGAAACTGAAAAAAACAAGAAATATATTTTATATGTTTACTTAATTTATTATACTCTTGGATGGCTCTCTAGTACTTGTGTGTGTGTTGAGTTGAGTTGCAGACCGAGCCCCTCTCTGGCTGGGAGGTAGGTTTAGTTGTGTCTCCCAGGCTGGAGGCGGAGATTTGAATGCACCAGGTGGAGGTGATCTGGCGATCAGGGGGGTGGGAGGCACTCACTCACAGGACAGTGAAGAGCGAGCAGTGTGAGAAAGCGAGATTGAAGAGCTTGGAAAGAGGAGACTGCAGGAATAAAGCTTGCAAAGACTGAAGAAGGAGCCGGTGAGCTTTTGAGTGGCTGACTACTTATGGCATCAAATGCAAGATCAAATGTCCATATATTTAATGTGTGTTTTAAAAAGTATTCAAGTTAAAAGTAATTGGATAAAACTTGATTTGTGTGTATTCAGCGGAGTTAAAAGCTGCTAAAGTTTTTAAGGTTAAAATCATTATTAAATAGTGTTTTAAAAATGTATTTAATTTAGTCTTGGGATACTTTAAATTTGGGTTGTCTTTCTACTTATTTTTGAGGTTAATTTCCAGTAGATTATAAATTAAGTATGTGATGTTAGGTATGTGAATTGATTATGGTTTCTTGGGTTATATTTCTTTGACCTTCCATTAGTGTTTGTATTTCAAGGTTTTTCACCTGGTTTGACCTGGACAATTTTAAAAATAAAAAGCAAGAAAGCAAAGAAGTCCGAATCTTGGTCATTGAGTGGAATCCAGTCTACACTTCTTAGCAAGCTGCCCTTTCAAGTGGGGAGCTGCAGTTTCAACCTCACAAAAGTGAGACACTTGACTGTGTGTGTGTGTGTGTGTGTGTGTGTGTGTGTGTGTGTGTGTGTGTGTGTGTGTGTATAAAGCTTAAATCAAGGTTGAGGTTCTTGTTTCTCTGTGCATTGTTTGCATTGCTCTCCTCTCCATATTTCCTTCTATGAGATGATTAAGCAGTGAACACTTCCTCCTGCTGAGTCAAGAAAATGCATCATCCCTTTTATTTCTGGGGATCAAAACTGTCCTCAGTCTCCTCATTAACATACAAATGGACCCGTTTCCTGCACACCGTGCTTGTTAAACACCTGTCATCTCCAGCACTGCTTTATCTTTTGTTTTTTGTGTGTGTGACAGATCCAGCGTGCCCTGCTCAGGAACAACCAGACTCAGCGTTTCTCCCAGAAACAGGCTCTCAGGCTGCACCAAGGCCTCGTCACCAGCACTGCCGAACAAGTGCGTGTCCGTTTTTATGTGCATTTGACGGGGAAACAAACCTGTGTATTCAATTTTGTTGTGAACATTGTCGATGGTTTTTATCCGTGTTACGTGTGCATAGGTGATGGAGCGGCTGTGTGCGCGGGTGCAGCAGCAGGTGTGTGTCCTGAAAGGCAGCGAGGAAGGAGAGGACGTCCAGACGGCCAGGCAGATCCTCAAGGAAGCCCGGGACTCGAAAGCTGTGAGTAGAGTAAACTATTGAATTGTAGAACATCAAAGGATTGGACATTAGGATATATGTATTTTGTTCAGTCAGTGTTTCTTATATGTATTTCTTCTTGTATTGTATTTCATATTTATAATACGGGTAGATGTAATCCAGCGTTGTGATTGGTTGAGAGTGAGTCACAGGGAGTGCATTATTCAGCAATAATGTACAGTTGCTGTTGACATTGACCCTAGCGTTCCATATCGCACTGCACACTCAAAGTAACTGTTCAATTAGTTGACATTTCAGCTTTTAGCTCTGACGATTGCCGAAAAAAGAGGAGGGAAATTTTGGGCAATGCAAGCTTTCGCAACCAGACTATTTAGGTGGACGTCATCAGCGATGTGAATGAATGAGATGCTGCGGGATCTTGCAAGGAGACCCAATGCTGTTTATCTGCACTTACGGGGACTATTTTTCTCTGGACTACTGAAATACGATACACATTGGACACTAAAGTACATCCTCTTGTTAATTTAAGTAAGGGCTAAGTTGAAACTGGTTAATTAACCGTTAAATTAGTCTTCAATAATGATTAAGTAGTTCTGTATTATCCGTTATGAGCAATCAGAATAACCTGTTGGGTTAACTTGTTTGGGGGTATCTGTCTGGCAGGTGAGCAAAACATGTGGATTTAACAATTAAATATTGTTCATTTAACTGTTAATTGCTAATTGAAAGGCCTCCTCCTGAGCTAAACTAAATTAAACAGCTCTGTTTGAGCAGTGTTCCATTTAGAAACGTTTCTCTCTGTGAAGAAGCTGAGCTGGAGCTAGATGGGCTAGAAAAAATGTAAATGCAGGTAAAGAAACAACATCCATGGGTGGTGTTTTCAAAAGCGGATGACAACTTGGCATAATTTGCACCTTTTGAGCTTCCTGTACCTATTTTAAGTCATAATAAGGCTCACAGGCGGCACACTTTTAATGAGCCAACAGCAAAGTTAGTGGATCCAGAGAATTTTTTATTTTGCAAAAAGCTCAGCGTTTTTACTGCTCGGAGACACCATCTCCACAGAGCACTGTGATACATGCTTGTGTATTTGACCTCCTGCTTGCAAGCAATACATTGACTTTTTGCAACTTTGATCATTCATCAATACTTTGTTTTCATTAGATAAACATTGAAAGAAATCATTCTCTTGTCCCGAACCAGTTTATTGAAATATTATAACATCAGCTCCTGGTATTTTTTATTTTGTTATTGATTTTGTCATTGATTAAATCAACCAACTGAATATGATGGAATCAATTTAAGCTCCGCCTGTAACGTTTACTGCATTTAAATACTACTGATTAATAATAATAATGAGCCAACCATGAATTAAGGAGAACGGTTTATTTTTTGAAGCTATGACAACATTCCTGTTGATACTGAATCGTTGACGTTAACCTCTCCTCACTGTCCTGCTGTGTTTGTGTGTGTGTGTGTGTGTGTGTGTGTGTGTGTGTGTGCATCAGCTGTATCCCTCCCTGTGTGAGTTGGCCCATGTGTTGTCAGTGGACGGCCCCGTCAAGCAGCGACTGGACACTCTGGCTGGAGAACTGGCCAAGGCTGCGGACAAAGAGCTGCAGGTATGTGGGAGGAGGCGCAGACAGCGGCCATTCCTTTTCCTAAACAGTGGCGGCGCTCTGAACTCGCTGCATTTAAATTGCCCATTAACGGCTTGTGGCTGTGTAAGTGTGCGTAGTGCAGGTGTGCTGACTTCAAAAGTGTTGCATTTAAATTCACAGCGGCGATTAAAAAAAGCAGCACGCCCCTGAGAAGGAATCTTGGAAACTTACCTGAGAATAATTTACATTTCTATTTTGTATTTTAGACATGTTTTTCTCACACAGAAAGCTGCATTTTTGAATTGTCAGAGGTCAAGATCAATATGCAATAATTTGGTTCAAATGTCCAACTAGACAAGTTGGATCTGGAAGGTGGCGACCAGATTGTCTGTATTGTTAGGAGGGTGAATGAATTGCTGCAATGCACATAAATAAAAGATGACAAGTCTGAATAAAGGAGCCGATTAACATCTGAGCTAGCGGTGCATGGGTAATGTCACTGGAGAACCGTGCGTGTGAATAGATTAAAGTTGTTTTAAGTACGCCCGTGCCAACGCACTTCTTTGTTTGACCGTGTCCAGGTGGTGGTAGACTCGATGGTGACGCTGTGCCGCGAGCTGTGTCCGATGTCCTGCTCAGCCGCCGAGAGACTCAGCACGCCTCTCTCGTCCATCTCGGAGCAAGTGTCCATCCCGCGCTCCGCCATCCGCAGCGCCTTCATGGAGAGAGCGGCCGAGGATATCAACCGAGCCCTGGAGTAAGAGGGAGGGCTGGTGACACGGTGCGAAGGCGAGCCAAGAGAGTGACTTTGGTTTTCATTGCGTCCTCTGCTCTCCTCGTTTCCAGGGAGGTGAAGTTATCTGTGGTTTCCTACCTGACCAACTCGATAGTGGATCAGATTCTACAAGAGCTGTACAACACCCATAAAACCCTGGTACTGGTAATAAAGCTTTCCTGCATGACTTCTTTGTAGAAACGTAGAACCAAAAAAAAACTGAAATCAACAACTTTCACAGCAAAGACTGTTTGGTTTTACAACACATAACACAACACAACATTATATCAGTCACATAACATTTCACATTTCAGCTTTGAATACCGCTTTTTAAAAAAATAATTAAAGGAGTATTTCAGTACTTGTGAAATTAAGTTACGATGCTCCAGGTGGGTGGGAAGACGAGGATTTCTCTAAATGTCTAAATATTCCTTACAGTTGGTTGACATAGAGTTTTGTGACATGCGCAGTGATCCAGAGGGCCGACCAGAGCGCCGACATGGCCATTCTTACTGGGCTCTCCATAGAGACGCGGGTCAAATTTGCTTCATTTCCCAGCCATTAATACTCTGATCCCCTTTAAACTGAACTAAAACAAATATGTGTGATCAAACAGCAACGTTTCTCTATCAGCTCTTGCGACGCAAACACAGCGTCCGCCGGCGTATTTCAGTTACTGAAATTTCTCACAAATTCATGCCAGAGCTCCACTTTGGGGATGTTTACTGCAAAGCCCAGGCTTGCCTCTTTTTTTTGTTTGTGCATCTGATTGCACAACAACCATCAGGCATTCGGAAGAAACAACAGAAATAATTCACTTTGTAAGCTGGTGCGGCAGAAAAGTGCATTATTTTGCCCTCAAAAGGGTTATTCCACTTAAGGGAGTCATTTTGGGAGGAAATAAAATCTGAATATGTACTCCAACGTAAGGCAATTGATTGTCCAAGTCTAATATTGCTCCTCGTTGCCCACGAACAACAACTCAATCATAAACAATGATCCACGAGTAGCTTCAACAAAATCATCGTCTGCTTTGTGCAGCCTCATTGTGCACGACACCATGATTCATTACATTTTGTCAGAGCACGCAGAATTTTCGAAGCAGATTTCACTCCCTCAAAACTCAAAGTTAAAACTCAAGAACATTTCACTTTTAAGATTGGATTTGGTAGTAATGCAGAGCGTCCCCTACTGTGTGACAAACCTGCGAAATAGATCGCCCATGTCTTGATTACTCGTGAGGTTTTGAGCATCTTAGAGTGTTTCTTGATCTGCTCTGTGTGATTGCCGTATCAAGATGAACGGTCCTAAGACCAGAGCAGCGTTTTAAGGACGATATTGCACTCGGGAACAACCGGAAAAGTCTATTTGTGTCTGTCGAGGACATGATTGGAGCCCCGGGGCGTTCTCTCCTAAAAACTGAATTGTTTAAAATGAAGCCGAAAGAATGCAAAAAATAGACTTCTGGCAATAACTGTTTTGCATTCCATTCCCCCCGCAGCCGTGTGTCTCATTTTCTTTTCCTCTGTTTTTGGTGCAATGCGAGTTCGCCCACTATCATGCCTCACTTTTCTTTAATAATCATGAAATTGTGTTTCATTCGTATTCTTCACGGGCACAGTCCTGCAGAGCATCCTTTGCTTTGATCAGGAGCTTCTTCTGCAACGCACTCGTCCTCTGAGATTGAGTCGAAGGACATCACGGTGATAACGCTGTGTGTGTGTGTGTGTGTGTGTATTTGTGCGGGTGTGTATTTGTGCATGTGGTTGATGTGGGTGTGTTGCATCAGCTGAGGCAGGTGTCCCAGGCGAAGCGCTGGGACGATGTGGGGACGGGGAGACGCACCATCAGACAGTCCAGATTAGTGGAGCCTCTGGATTTTGCCGACGAGGACTTTGGCGTCAACCTGGGAATAGTAAGTATTGTAATCCAGAGGTACACGTGTATTAGTAGTATCATTGAGCATTACCTAACAAGCTAATTGGATGATTTGTACCGATTAGATGGCAACAATTTGAACTAGAAAATGCATTTCCTGCTGAAAATGTGTTTGAATGCTTAAAGCTAAAAGCTGAAATAATTTTTTTAAAATAGCTGAAAATACAGAAAGCTGAATGGAATTCCAATACATTTGCTTAAATTACAGATATTAGAAAAGCTGAAAATAATTTGAAAGAATTGCTGAATCTACAGAAATAAATAAGAAAACCTGAAATTATTTTAAAGAACTTCTGAAAATACAGAAATGGGAGGAGCTGAATTTCAATAGATTTTCTGAAAATACAGAAGTTGCAGGAACTGAAATGAATTAAAAAAAATACAGAAATAACAACAAAAGCTGAGATGAATAAAAAAAAGTTTTAAATTGTTTGTAGTAATATTAGTAATATTTATTTATAGTTGTAATTGTGGTACTAGTAGTCGAAGTAGTAGTAATAGGTTTAGTATCAATAGCAGTAGAAACAATAGAAATGGTAGTAGTGTTAGTATTATCAGCTGTAATACTATTAGCCATAGTAGTATTATTTGTAGTTGTACTACTAATTGTAGTACTACTACTACTACTGGTAGTAGTATCAGTAGTCGTTGAAGTAGCAGTATGAATACCAGTAGTACTTTTATAGTTATAAGAGTACTAATCAGTTGCAGCGTCACTACTACTGGTAGTAATTGTGTTTTAGTACTACCACTAGTAGTATTAGGAATAGGGATTAAGAGTAATTTTAGTATTAATGGCAGTTGAAATTCTACGCACATTGAGGCTTTTATTTTGAAATGATGGAGTTGGGTGAGGGGGTGGGGGGTTGGGAGACAGAATGTTTGTCCCTCAAACTAATAAGTTATTAATCAATAGGCCTCATCACAAACATTACAGTAAGAATTCCCTTCATGGGGGGTTTATTTTTGAAATTATTGGATTGGGTGAGAGGGTGAAGAAGAGAGGGGTGATGAGTGAGACAGGGGCAGAAATAGAGAGACAGACAGCCCGTGAGTGAGTGATTAAGAGTGAGGTGAGGGAAAAGGGGGGGGGGGGGCGAGGGGTTTCATAATGTTGGTCTGTTGGCAGAAAGCATAGCTGCGTCATGTGACTCCACTAATCAGGTAATACGAAACAGCTGTGAGTCACACAGACTGCAGCGTGTGTGAGTATCCACGGTAATGGCACACCTGGGTTCATTAACGAGCTGCTGAAAGGGAACAGACCGCAGCGATTTACACAGAATCCACACCTCACGGCTCTACTGGCAGTTTACAAAACGTACCTTCTGGATTTTTTGAGAAATATGTTGAAAGATTTGTATTGAAGCCTATGGAGCGTGAGGCTGCCTTTGTCTCACTCACAAGTTCCTCAGGCAAAAAGTAAAGAACTGTGCGATTCCATAGCCACAGGACTAAAAGCGGCACAAGCATACGATCATTTTTATACAAAAATGAAAAGCCTAAAAAGTGTATACTGTGGCCGTGAGGGCAGAAGTGCAATCTTTTTTAATCCGATTCTGACGCTGCGGTACACTCTAGCTGTTCAGCTCTCAGAAACGCAATACACACTAATATAAAACTCAGAAACAGACCGAAAAACTAGTGAAACATAATCAGTGACTATGGAAAAAAGTAGAATAGATATCAACAAGCTTTTTTTTCATAAAATAGTTTAGAATTTGTCACATACAGTTGAAATGGTGTCTGTAGCTGAAAGATTGGCAAAGCTGAAAAATCTGAAAGTTGAAGAAGTTGGAAGACCATGGTAAAATATTAATGATTATTGATTTATAAAAATTCAAACTTATGAGGTAGAAAGCTGAAAAGTCATAGCACCCCTCTCATGAAAGCTGAATATTTTAATATTTGAACGGTTTTAATAGCTGAAAGTGTGGAGGAGTTGAAAGGTGGCGTGGAAGAAATAGAATAAGTTGAAATAAAGATTCAAAGAACAATACTTGCTTAAAAGCATTCCAACAATCAGCTGATCGTTAAAGTAAATCAACTCACAACTTTTGAAATGCACATTGCTACATTTCAACTGTTGCAAATCCTATGAATTAAAAACAATTTGGGCGGTTTGAGGGAGACTGAGCACTTTGCATCCTGTGAGCCAGCATGCCTTTCTGGCTGTCCTGACCCACAATCATCTGCACAGCAGATAAGTGAACACGAATGAAGCTCCGGTGGAAAAAAGACTAGATGCACACTGCACATGCAGTGTGCGATCTGGAAAGCAGCTCACATTTCCTGTAATCTCTGGCTTCTCCATGTGGGGAAGATGTTGATTTCATGTTCTTTGAACCTCCTTTATCTCCTCTCTCCTTAATCAAAAGTAATTTCCTCATCAACGTATTATTTACCGTTTACTAGCCATGTGTGTTGTTGTCACATCTATGTGAAATAAAGCCACTGATCCTTTTGCATTCATCTTCTTTTGATAACAGGACACAATGGCTATTAAGAAGAGGAGCTCCCGAACGAGAAGAATTCGTCCCGTCTCTACCAGACCGAGTGAGTTTTCTTGCCTCGACTCGCAGCTAATTGTCACACAGCATGAAGCCTCCACGATAAAAGCAGGCTGGGGGTCCAGAGACCCTCCTTTGTGATAAAATCAGTCTACTTCTTTAGCAGAACGAGGGGTGCTTCACCCTTTCTCACCCGTGCTAATGTTTATGCTATTAGCTAGTGTGTTGAGGGATTAACCCTTACGACGTCAGTGTTTTTGGTTACATCCTTCATGCCAAACTTCCCCCCTCTAGTGGTAACGTCCTAAGCAGAGCTGCTCTCTGTATGTGATTGTCATTTTGTCTGGTTGTAGGTCTTGGTGAGGAGCCCAGTCCCTCTCCGACCCCCTCGGCCCCACCGCACTCTGCCACTCTTACCCACTCGGAATCGTGGGAGTGTCTGTCCACCCTCCCAACCAACGGCTCACCATTGCGTCACGTGACCCACGCCAGGCCTCGCCCGCCGCGGAGATACAGAGCCGGTCACCCTCCACCGGAATCTGTAAGTCAAAGGCGAGGCAGTGACCTCGGGGAGCTTAGTGTGCGCTTCATTTTCCCTCAAGTTTCCTGTGTAAAACGCCGCAAGAAGCTTAAGAAGAAGAAGACCATAAACAGATTGTTTTTTTTCAAAGCATCTGGGTCTTTATATTGCACCGGGAAGGTTAAGGAGTCTTTATTGGGCTATTGGCACCACTGTAACTGCCACCATTTGTGGCTCTCATGCTGCAGCATGAAGCTCACTCCTTCAGTGTTTTTACACTGAGCTTCAGAGGCGTGTTGAGGTGAGAAAGTAGACCCGAGATGTTTATTTGTCAGAAGTCTCTTTCTATCTCTTCACTTCAATACGTGAACCGCATTACAGTCTATTTATCTTGTTTTCCGCGCTAGGGGCACTTTCCAAAAATAAGTTCCTTTTAAAGTAGGAAGCTGTTGCATGTGTGACTTGATTGTTTATCATGCGCCGACATCTGCCTGGGGCGGCCTGTAGCTTAGCGGCTTCTCTGTTTTGAGACTTTGTAAAAAAATAAATATATATATATATAAAAAAAAAAAGCTTCTTCTAAATCTGTACAAACCCCATTAGCGGGGCATGATGATGTTTTACAAACGACCCCAGCCAGCCATTTAAAATGATGAAACCTTTTGTCAGCCTCTCAGTGTTATGTCGACATGGTAGATGGATCGTCGTTATCCAATTTTTTACCAATTGTTTCCTGTGTGTGTGTGTGTGTGTAGAATGGTTCGGAGAACGGAGGAGTCAGTATGCTGGAGGACGGACTACCTGATTTCTACAGCAAGAGAGTCCTACCTGACAGGTAGCTCACAAAATCTGCCACTGGATTCACATTATTCCACAGATGTATCGCTCGCTTAGCGCACCAAAGAAAACACACAACCATGGAGCAGACAGCGCACACATAGATCAAACTATATGATTGACCTTTATTAGCCCCACAGGAAGGACGTTTTCAGTGTTATCGCAGCAGAAGGGGACACTGCAACAGGAGGCACAAAGAACACTTCCTGAGCATCCGCTAACTGTGTAAATAACATTGCCTCTCAATTTAAAATGTGCTAATTTATCCTCACTGCTTATCATTTTAATGCAGGTTTTAAGTAAATTCTTCATCTGTTCCTAACTGTAACAACTAACTAAAACTCTGTGGCAATGTTGACAACCAGCATGAATATTGACTCTTTTAAAGCCTCCAGCTATGAAAGGAAAGTGCAGTTTCATTTCAGTCTGCCTAAACTGACTTACTGTTTTTATCACAATTATTGGATAAACATCTCATAATCATTCAAAAATGTTCTAATTACAATATGCTAAGTTAAAATTATGATTATAGAATTCATAATTAAGGGAGAACGTTTCAGTTTGTTTGTTTTCTTCCTTAGAACATTGAAAAACAATTATCAATCAGTTAAAATGATCAGTGTGAAATGGGACAGAATTATTTCACTAAGTGAATAATAGAAATCTGCGGCCTTTACAAATGGGGTAGTCTTTCTTTACTCTTTAAACGCATTTAGCTTTGTATGAAGCTGCCGATGCTTTTAGTGGGCGAGACTCTTTGTACATCGGCTCTAGACACAAACTCACAAACAATAAAGCAGCCTCCTGCACCAACGACTGATGTTCCAGCTCCCCTCCGTAAGAGGTGTTCTTTCTGCGTGCTACTCACACACATGCACATGCAGAACAACGGGTATATTCAATGTCCTTGTCCGTGCTTTTATGCTCTCATGTCCTGTAGTGGGGGCAAAGATGAATGGACAGCATGCCTCTCAAGCACTTTGGCGATGTAGTGGAGTCTGTTTTGCATGGAGGCCTAATTTGTAGCTCTATTTGTCCAATAACCAGAACAAACCGTTATATGAAATAAATCATCTTGTTTACTGTCACAATCTGTCCTGCTGTTTACGGGCTCATTTTCTTTGGAGCTGTGGTCTTGCGCTGTATTAGAGACCTTACTGGCTGCCTGTGAAAACCGATCTGCGGCAAAGCAATTATATACTGAACAAACACAACTGTTTGCTTTCATGAAAACAACAGCAACCACAAAGCTCCACCAAGCAGACCAATCTTTTAGCGCAGTGTTTTGGTCTTTTTCTATTTTGGTTCACTAATTGTTCCTAGCTGTAAACACAGTGGACTCATTAGCAGCTAGTCAGATATGTCCTTCAGGAGGACGGGGAGACCATGAACTCTGAAAGGTTTGAAAAAGGGTGATATTGGCTGCCTCAGAAACTTCAACTGCTAATGCTTATGTTCTGAAGGGTTGATAAATAGTTTGTGTTCCATGGTGATTCAACGTGTACATTATACTATATGTTAACGCCGTGTTGTGACGAAGCAGCACTTTGTCTACCTGTCAAAGTCTGATTTTAGGGTGTTACTTCAGTAATAAGAGTCATTATGAGCATTTTCAAGTATTTGCCAAAAACGTAGCTTCTCTACCGTCAGGCCAATATTGCAAATCATTCAATATTGTATTATCATTATTAGTAGTACAATAGGTGGAGACTTTTGAGTTGTTCTAACAACAATAAAAACACGTTCAAGGTCAACGTTAAGCGAGCAATTTATTAACATCTTACTTTAATTGTGTATATCATCAACTGGACGATTTTGATTGTAATATAATGATGCATGGCTTAAGATTATGCCAATTGAACATTACTGACTAATGGAACCACATGAAAATAGTATTTCATTAACAGTTACAAGTTCACATGACCGCATGTGTTTAATGCTCACCAGCAGGGCATGAAAAAGATTCATTGAGGCAGAATAAACCGCCTGCTGCCGTCTGTCTCGCATATTAAACCATCTGCACACGTCCACTCAAACTGCAACGTTAAGGCCAAATGGTCCGTTGACATAAGTGGTCAATGGCTAGTTGGCAGTAATTCTACAGATGAATCCAGATGTATCCAGAATACACAATCTATCCTCTTTTAATCTGCTGTCTTTACCCCCCCCCCCCCCCCTTCTCCTTCAGTCAGTTGACCTACCTACATCAGGGCCAGTCGCTGAGGAGAAAGAAGAGACGCAGCGTTTTGTCCATTTTCTCCGGCTTCCGCAAGAACCGCAACTCCACCATCTCCAATCAGGACTCAGAGTGAGTGTGCGGCGTGGTGGAGGGAGGGGGCGAGAGTGACCCCACCCAGTGCACAGACCCAGAGGAGGAGACCGCTGTGGAAGGGATCCGGCGGTGGCCGCTGACGTCACTTCATTGCCTTATAAATATTTTAATGGGAGAAAATATTTTGCTGTCTCCTACTGAACTCTGTGTTGCGTTGCATTCGTTGACACTGCCGTTACATAACGGCACCCATGGTTTAGGAAACCATCGACAGCAGCATTGCAGGGAGGAGAAACCCACCGATTAATAACTCAGTAGGTGTTTTTGTAAAGAAAAGGGCACTCAGTGAAAGCTGTGTATGCATCTTAACAGACTGAGGTGCTTACAAATTGAACTCAAAAGTTGTGACCTAAAAGTGGTGACGCGGCTGCGGCGCTGGACTGGCTGCAGGTTGTTGCTAAGCACTCCACATCGTTCATTGTTGTGTTCACTCACGCCGCCTCCTGCACACAATCCTTTTGTCTTCAAGGATTGTATTTATTATTGATGCCATCTTTTATTTATTGTCATAATGCAACACAGGGACTTACAACAAAATGCACTTGTAGCCCGTTTCTAACAAAGGAGGAACATGACTGCTAAACACAACGGTAGAGCAATCCTGGAGGAAATTGCAGCAAACATTTTAACATCAAAAATTGTGACATCGTGAAACATTGTCCTGTTCACCAAGCATCATTAATGGTAACACAGAGTCCTCCACCTCCAAGTCTCATTTCATCTGTCTCACTTTCCTGCGGCCGTTCAGGCTGTGTGGCGGAGTGGCCTCCGATCCTAGCCGGGTTAGCTTAGTTTCTACCTCTTCTCCCGATTATAGAGACATTTATCATACACATATTTTTTTAATGCCGAGTACGGATTGTTAAGGCACAATGTATTTGTGACGTAGTAACAGGCCAATTAGCTCACCAAGCACTTCCTCATATCACCCTGTGCCCCTCGGGTCAAACCTCAAACAAATAAATGTGCATAGATGTGATTCACTCATCACAATCTACAGGTTTTTTTTTGTGTGTGTATGTGTGTGCTCCAGCAGCACCTCAGAGAACGTCTACTCAATGATCCAGCACACCAAGGAGGCGGGAAGGCCAGAGAGCACGCTTCCTGGAGCCAACGGGACCATGCCCTTGCCTGGGCCCGTGCAGAGTGTACCTGTGCACGGGATGAGGGCCGCTAGTCCCTCCGTCCAAAGACAGGTGGGCTGTTTAGGGCTGTCACAGTGACAAATTCCAACCACTTCACTACTGACGGAGAATCCTGAATCCTTTCAACGCACAGTGTCACTCCGCGTGTGTGTGTCTCCGATGTACAAATGGACCAAACCGTTTGGCACATGTTGCGGTGTTTCCCTGTGGAATAGTGCACCATCCTGCCGGTAGTAAATGCACATGTGCAAAGATTTTCTGCCAAGGTGTATAGATGTTCCCGGTCTTTATCTGTGTTGGACATGTGTAGCTTTTTAGAAAAGTGGCCTATTTTCAAATCTCTGTTTGGATCTGCAGGATCCTCACTGAGCCTTGAGAGGCTTTGACATCCCCGGAAAAATGAAGGATAATTTAATTTTAGTGTAATTGAATTCACTAGAATTATTAAATATTAATCGTAGCCCTCACTCTCATGGCGGTTTCCACCAGGCTAGACGGTTAATTGCCTCAGTATGTCATGGAAGACCGAGAAACCAAGACACTATATTATAAGGTATGTGACTTCGGTTCGAGGACTCATCTATCTTTTCTTTTGTCTTTTTCTTGTCCAGTCCACAGACCTGGTCAGCATGGTGTACAGTTGCATCGGGGCAGACATCGAGGACTCCGATGGGAGCAGCACCTGCGACATTAAAGAGATGGACCAAGACACGGACCGAACCACCACCATCTCCGACGTGCCTGCAGACTCTCGAACGAACGGCCACGTGGCGTCCTCCAAACACCAGACGGACAGGCAGATGGAGAAGGGCAGGCAGGAGAGGATCGTACCCCTGACGGACCCGAGGGCTGACGCGGAGGAGGACAGAGAGGGCGCTGTGGTCCCCTGTGGGCCGAGGCCTGAGCCGCCTCCACAGTGCATCAAGCCGAGTGTGGCTGCGATGAGGCAGAGACACCTGCAGGAGAGTTTAGGTACTGCATCTGAGACAGAAAGTGATGTTATATGATGGTTCTGCCTCAGAGTACAGCAGAGTATCATATTTATTTATCTTAACAGCTTCCCTGGTTGTTAGATGCTGTCCAACTATCACGATGGTGGCAAAACAAATTTATTTACTCTGTGGTTCCGATGCCATTAAGACATCGGTAAAATAGCTGGAGGCCGGCACGGGTCATCGCTTAAAATCAATGAGGAAATCTTCAACTTGACATTTGAAATAACATCATCAAGCAAAGATCTGATAAGTGACGACCCTTTCGCTGGTTATCATATGCATAGCCTTTTGTGTTAAAGTTGTAAAAAGCACTTAACATAGAAATGTTAAAAAACATTGTAGACGCTTCATTGTTTATTTATCCTTTCGTTTTGGTTTGTGCTTCATATGTCTGGCAGTGATTTCTTACATTTCCAGTGACAGCATGGACGGGCTCCTCGGTCAGGCTGTGTTTTTTATCTTTTTACTGGCGGCTCATTTTTAAGACTCTGCTGGCTGTGTTTCTGTCTCCAGAGGAGGCAGGGAGGCTGCAAGGAGAAGAAGACGAGGGTGAAAGGAAGCAGCAGGAGGAGAAGCCGACAGCGCGAGGGCCAGAGGGACAGCGTCCTCTGGTTCCCAGTAAGGTTTGTGTACAGCGTGTTAAACACACACAGCCAAACATCTGCTTCCCACTCAAACACTGTGACTCGCGACCTCTCAACCCTCCCACAGCCCGGTCACCTCTCGAGAGACCACACCTCTCCGGAACCCCCTCCCGACACCTTCCCCGTGAGTCCGGGGGAGGAATCCAGCGATGAGCGGAGGAGCTTGCCTAGCGCTCCGCCAATCAGTCAAGAGGAGGGAGCTGCCGAGAGGAGGAGCCCACCCCCGTCAGCCACGCCGTGGACAGAAGCGGCAGATCCTTTCAGTCCAGGTGCTGTAACAACTTTACTGTGTTATGTGTTAGATAACAAACATTTGAGTTTTACTAGTAGAAAGTGGCCATAATTATACAGTATACATCGTACTATCTGATATGATGACATCCTTAAGTCCATTTAGACAGAATATAATAATAATAATATAATAAGATGATAATGGCGACCTTCTTTTCTTTTATCACCATTTCACTAACCAGATGAAGAAGGTCATAATGGATTTCCAGCAACTTTGCGTCACACCAGGAAGTCCAACTCATTTGACATAGGTACTGTATGACTGCTGCTGCCCCATCTGTTGCACACATCATGATGAACGCAGCATGCATGCTGGTTAGTTTTACGCATGGACGTCTGAGGCGGATGCACATCTCGCTGTTTTTAATTCATTCAAAACAAGCCTTTGTGTCTTATTATCACAAGAAAAGCAGCGTGAGTCTCTTTATTGCCCGTAAAGCTTCCTGGCTCCTTCATCCTACGCCCCCTTTTTTTATTCCCCCACCCCCCCTCTTGTGTGTGTTGTCGTGCCATTTCCCCTCAGGCACGGAGCGGGACAGCCCCTACGATCTGAAGACGTCCTCAGATCGCAGGATCCAGGCCCGTTTCCCCCAATACAGAAACAGATCTCTGGACTGCCCTGCTGGGACCAGGTGTATGTACCTGTTTCACTTTCTGCCAATATGTGTGGTGTGATGACCATGGAACTGGGGAATTTTTCACCCTGAAGTTTTCGATGGGTTTATCTCAAAACAACGATTTCTTGCTGATATGTGTACAGTTTTAATTTGATTAAATGTTGTGAGAAATTCGGTTTATGAAGTCAATTCAAATCCCCAGAAGAAGTTGTGTACAGCTTTATTGTATGACTCAACTTCTGAAGAAAAAGCTCAATTATAGACTTTTCAGTACTTGGCTGAGTCACACCCGACATATTGAAAGCATGCTTGTTCCGCTATTTTAAGACTGGCTGACCAGAGAAAGAACTAAAACAATATTTCCAAGATATGATTTGGCAGTTTTCCAGAAAAGTCTTGGCACAGCCTGCAGCCTGGATGAGCCTGCTATTAAACTAGAACCCCTCCCATCCTTTTACAGTACTGATGAATCCCTCCTGCTTTAATTCAAACTGATACTATTTTGCATTACTCAGGTAATGTGCGGCCACGTGTAGCTGACAGGTCATCAGTTTCTACGCTGAGCCGCTTGGCATTGAAGATATAGAACGCCTGAGGCCAAACCACTGGCCGTTGCCTCTGTGATACTGAAGTGTGTATCAGAAAGCTCAAAATCACAATCGTAAAAAGGTCCACATGTCAGAGATGATGACACAAAAGCCTTCTACGTAGAAAGTGCTGAAGCGGCGTCTGGTTACAATTTAGACGGGCTGAAGTCCTCTTCATCCTATGGACAATGGGCACGCTGTCACACTATGAAAGGAAACCACAAGTGAAATCCAAGCGTTGAGCTAAATAGAAGCAATGGCTCGATAACCCATTTTTCAATGACCAAGTGGGAGCATCATTTACTGAACAGCACGCTGTGCTCAATATGACGAAACTGAGGCTATAAGTGATGTTTACAATGCTGGCTAAGGTAATAAATAAATTGAGAAGCAGGGTTATTTTCTCATTAACTTCTGAACAATTGCTTTTTTTTGCTGTTACAGGAGTCGCCCCCTGCTGACCAATAGAAACAATGCAGGGTTTAAGTTCCTCATTGCTGATCTGGATGTTGCCTCCTGCTACAAACATATGTGACTGGCAGTATTATCACCTTATGAGACTGATGTGGAAAACACGTTGGCAACCATAGAACAACATTAAATGTTTTTACATGTTTTTCATGTAAACTGCTCTCTGCTCCGGTTTCATACAACGAGTCACGTGCCACAAATCCAGCACAAATATTCGAAATAGACTGAAGGCCTGTGTGGAGTTCGGGGCCGCTGCGAAGTTGGGTAATTATTGTGATGTGAACTTTGCCAGTACAAATCATTCACATATCAACATCATCTTTAAGTTGAGTCTACTGATGAAAAGGGAACTGAAGGGTGTGGGTGAAACTTTAGGGTACATTGGTAATGGAAAGACTTTGATTATTTCAGCTTTATAGTTATGTAATCACATTCTATCCGCTTCTTCAGGTTATGAAAGTCCCCGGCTTGGTGACCCAGACGGTTTGTGACGTTGCCAGTGGACCAGAGGAAATGTTCTGGGCAGCGAGGCCTGGAACAAGGAGGACTGGAGAGAGACGAGCTTTTAAAACTGTGGACTGAAATGACAAAGCTGCAACGACTACTTTTTGTTGTTTTTTTTCTCTCCTTTTAATCCATGTAAACATTTTGTTGCCGATAGTGCATGTACTGGTATGCTTCCTGCTCTGTAGCTCTTGCTGTGTTTTTTCTCTCAGGCACAAGGACAGCTCTGACCTGCGGTACAAATCGCACACAGCAGTTCGATGTCTCTACTCATCATGAACGCTTTTATGCATTTGAGTGAAATAATTTAATGCGGTCTTCTCATCGCCCTCCATCTTTTACTGACAATCTGTGACTACTAAAAGTGAGTTTGTACTGTGCTAATCATGACGGAGATGTAAATAACAAATATAAAACTGCACTAACCATTGCGGTAACTTAATCCGTCAACAATCATGTTTTTTATTGTGACCTATAATTTGATTATTGTGTATGTGTGCTTTTTATTGTATGTTGATGATTGAGATGTGTTATCATGCACTTAGCACTCCCATCTCTCCAAGAGTATTTAAGGATCCCAAACAGTTTGAATCTGATTTTGCAGGCCTGAAAATGAGTATATTTTCTAAATATGGTTCTACAAATCAATAAATAAAATTGACTTTACACAAGATGTATTGTTGAAGGTTGTTTACATGTCGAGGATTTTACTTGTGTCATGGGGAGGGAATAGTGTACTTATACAGTGGTAGAATATCCTCTTTGGCTTCTGGAAGAGCCCTAAATCATTTCAACAGGGTTCATTTGTTTGGCTTTGAAAAGTAGAATGACATGTTAGAGATTGCACTGATTTGCTTTCTTGTGGAGTTGAGGGAAGAAAAGCTGGAGGAAGAAAATGAGCTCATTGCTTGCCTTCAAGATGTTACTGGCAAAATAGACCACGTTTACATGCATTCATGTTTTAAAAAAAGTACATCTCTTCTCTCGGGAGTTCTGGTAAAGTTAGTGGTGCAAGAAGAGAGACATCAAAGCCACCAGAGTTAGAGTGTTTAGAATATAGTTTTGCTTCACAGCAGTAAAAGCACTAGAGAGTGAGTTTAAGTGATGTTACTTGCAGCTCATTCCATGCCCAGCGTGCATAAAAGATTTACCAAACTAAGAGCACCCTGAAAACATTTCAAATATTCCCAATTGTAGATTTAATGTAATTTTATATTAATCATTACAGTAACAAGGATAAAATGTTTGATACATAAGAATGCGGTCAACAATGATTTTAGCAATAATCAGTTTTCATTATAAATCATTATAAAATTTTCATTATAAATCTTCTCATTTAAACCATCTGCAATAAAGTATATAAATGAAACAATCAGGTATTTTTTTCATGCCATGTGTGACAGATTTCTTTTTTAAAACCTGTATCTTAAATGTGATGCACGCCGACAGCAGGGGGCAGCAAAGACTCAAAGCTGCTGCTCATTGTGCCCTGACCTCACCAGACCCGTGGCTGCTGTACTGGGGGCAGCATAGGCATGGGGCGGGGGTGTTGATTTGATGTTTCTAGAGGAGATCAGCACTCACGGTATAAGCATGCTCATTAATTACGCTCCCTGTCAGCTCTGATTACCGCAGGTCAGGTCAGCACAGCACGTGCTTGCGTGCTTTTGTGCGATCAGGACCTTTGATCCGAACCCCCCCGACGGGCCTGTTGTGGTTTGGGTCATTGTCCGGGTCACCGGATGAGCTCTGTCTCTCCATCCGCACAGAGATCCCTCGCGCCACATGCCCAGCCGCGTGTTTCCTTACAGCAGATGTAAACCTACGCGGCTCGCGCATGCGCATTGCGCGCTCGCATCAGGTGAAGGTGTTCACCCGACCGCTGCTGCAGTGCGTGCTCGCTCATTCGTTATGTCTGCATTATTTAGTATTTAGGTGTGTGTTCCTCTGCGTGGGTCAACAACAAGCCCCCCGAGTTCCCAGTGGAAGGGAGGTGATGGGGGTCACGTGTTCCACCGTGCGCCAGATGAGTAGCACGAGCCCAGGTGGTGGAGCCGGACAAGTGACGAGGCTTCTGGTTCCACTGTATGTGTAGTGGGATTTTTATTAGGTTATATAATTAACAGTGTTGGGCAAGTTACTGAAAATTAGTATTTAGTTAGTTACTAGTTACTTCTTTTAAAGGTAATTGAATTACTTACCAGTTACTGTGTATCAGAAGTAATTAGTTACTCTGGAAAGTAACTTTTAAGTTACTATTATGTCTGCTTTTTAAATGTAATGAATATAAATAGTGCCCAACAGTCAAACACAATAAACATATTTTTTAGACCTATTTATTGTAATCAACAGGACAACAGGCCTTCAAATCAAGCAATAGTACAAAAGTCCTTTTTAATACTTGACTTAATACAAAATAATTGTTTCAGGCATTTGCCTGAAGGCAACTGATTCGACAGGATGCATCTCATCTTCAACATACCGAGCAATCAATCTATTCAGCTCTGCCCGGTTTATCGGCTGCACTGCGGTCCGTGTAAAGTGGAGCCTTGGTTGTTTGCGTGGAGCGGCGCCTGCAGCATCCGCGGGCCTGCGGTCTTTCATCATGAGCGAGGCGATGCTGTTTACATGCACGTACGGCGACTATTCTGTGACACACAACGTTTGGTGACCACAACTATTTTGTATTGACAGGCAGCTATTTACTTACTATTTGCCGGCCCTCCGCTTTGCGTCACAAAAGAGAGTAACGCGAGTAATGAACTCATTTCAATTTCAGTAATTGTAACTGCGTTAATTTATTTAAAAAAATACTTCGTTACATGCTCGTTACCGCTAAAAGTAGTGGAATTACAGTAATGTGTTACTTTGTAATGCGTTACTCCCAACATATATGTCTTCTGTGATCATTAATAACAGAAGACATAACAAAATATTTCAGTGTAGTGTCAACCTTGATCAACTGACTTCTTCATTTTCAAAGTCTAAATCTTCTACTTGTCTCTTGGATCCGATTCCGACTAAGCTGCTAAAGGAAGTTTTTCCTTTAGTTAGCACATCCTTATTAGATATTATGAATCTGTCTTTGTTGACAGGACAGTCCTTCAAGGTAACTGTAATTAAACCTCTTCTTAAGAAACCTACTCTTGCTCCAGATGTGTTGGCTAACTACAGACCTATCTCTAATCGTCCCTTCCTCTCTAAGATCCTTGAGAAATCCATCGCAAATCAATTATGTGACTTTCTACAAAACAATGCTTTGTTCGAGGATTTCCAGTCAGGATTTCGAGCGCATCATAGTACAGAAACAGCACTGGTAAAAATTATGAATGATCTTCTACTTGCATCGGACTAAGGACTCATCTCTTTTCTTGTCTTGCTGGACCTCAGTGCTGCATTTGATACCATAGACCATTGTATCCTATGGCAGAGACTAGAACATTTAATTGGTATCAAAGGAACTGCACTCAGCTGGTTTAAATCCTACTTATCGGATCGATCCCAGTTTGTGCTTGTAAATGGTGAATCCTCAAAGACCACCAATGTTGGTCACGGAGTCCCACAAGGTGCTGTACAGACGATACTCAACTGTATCTGTCGATCAAACCAGAAGAGACGGACCAGCTAGTTAGACTTCAAGAATGTCTTGGAGACATCAAAACTTGGATGACCGGCAACTTCCTGATGCTAAACTCAAAAACAGAAGTTATCTTGATAGGCCCAGAGCGCCTTCGAAGCCAGCTGTCACGTGATACGGTTTTTATGGATGGAATTGCTCTTGCACCCAGCAGCACCGTCAGGGATCTGGGAGTTCTCTTTGACCAGGATATGACCTTCATCTCGCATATAAAGAAGACTTCAAGGACTGCCTATTTTATTTTCATCTACGTAACATGTCAAAAATCAGGAACTTCCTGTCTCAAAGTGATGCAGAAAAATTAGTTCATGCGTTTATCACTTCCAGACTGGACTACTGTAATTCTTTGTTATCAGGCTGCTCTTGTAAATCTCTTAAGCCTCTCCAGTTGATTCAGAATGCTGCAACACGTGTATTAACAAGAACTAAGAAAAGGGATCATATCACTCCTGTATTAACTTCTTTGCACTGGCTCCCTGTTAAATCAAGAATAGATTTTAAGGTACTTCTCCTCACCTACAAGGCATTTGCTGGTGAGGCACCGTCGTATCTTAAAGAGCTTGTAACACCTTACTGCCCTACAAGGCAGCCTGCGCTCCATAGATGCTGGGTTACTTATTGTTCCTAAAAAAAAAAAAAGTAGGCTGGGGGCCAGAGCCTTCAGTTATCAAGCTCCTCTTTTGTAGAACCAGGTTGCACTTTCAGTCCGCGGGGCAGATTCGGTCAGCTCTTTTAAAGTAAAACTTAAAACTTTCCTCTTTGATTCTGCCTATAGTTAGGGCTGGCTCAGGTTAGCCCGGACCAGCCCTTAGTTAAGCTGCTATAGGCTTAGAATGCCGGGGGACTTCTTAGGACACACCGAGCTCCTCTCTCACGCTCTCGTTCTACCATAATTCACGTTTTATTGATGCACATGACTAATTCAGCTTCTTTCCGGGAGTTTTTTTTGTGCTTTCTCCCCTAGCAGGTCTCCGTAGATTGTAGTTCCTTCTGGACCCTGGTCCTGACACCTGCCGTGGCCCTGCTGACGCCTGCTGCTGACATCATCATCATCATTATTATTTTAGATATTAATCATATTACTGTACTCATAAACCAACATTACCCTCTCCTAAAGTCTCTGTGCTCTCCCTCCCCACAGAAGCCTGTGGATGGTGGTTCTATCTGATGGTGGTTGCCCCTGCAGTGGTCCTGCTATGCGCCTGGCTTACTACTCACAATTACTTGAATCATTTCTGTCATAGGAATTGCATGTATTATACATTTTTCATCCTGTACACATGGCATCCATTGTAGTCTGTCCATCCCGGGAGTGGGATCCCTCCTCTGACGTTCTCCCTAAGATTTCTTCCCTTTTTTTCCCTCTTTGAAGGTCTTTTTTCATTTTTGGGGAGTTTTTCCTGTGCCAATGGTGGGTTTCGGGACAGAGAATGTCGTATGTGTACAGACTGTAAAGCCCTCTGAGGCAAATTTGTAATTTGCGATTTTGGGCTATACAAAATAAAATGAATTGAATTGAATGGAATAGTGTCGACCACAGTGACAAAAGCACATTCTATTTCAAATCTCAATCTTACAGGCCTTGGTGTTTTTTTTTTTCATCTGCAAGAATGTTCATTCAAGCCTTAATGTTCTAAATTATAGGGGCCTATAACTCTCCAGCCCTGCGATTGGCTGGCAACCAATCCAGGGTGTACCCTGTCTATCGCGCTCCCCCCCGCGACCCTGTGTGCGGGATGAGCGGTTTGCAGATGGATAGATGGATGGATGGATGGATGGATATAACTCTCCTATATGCAAAACGACACCTCCATAAGGTAGACGCTATAGATTATTTTGATTTTAAAAAAAAACTACAACTTTTTGTTTTTGTTTGTGTCTATTGGAGAACATGTTTCTTGTGCAAATTTTTGCATTTAAAAGACAAATTTGTCAAGCAAAATGTTCTGTCAGAAAACATTCAAGACTGTAACACAATGCAGATTGCTCTACACACACAGGGCTCACAAACCGACTCAAACTACTTTGATACACAC